TTTGAGAATGACGGAGATCTCATTCTTCCTATATCAGATGGCAGTGTCTGCAGGGGACACAACCTCGAGGGCCAACTTGAAACCGATGTTGACGCCGCCTTTTGCTGTCTTGTGGAAGATAACTGCAGCAACTTTGGCAAGATGCGTATTTTGGATGATACCGTTTGCTCCAAAGATAGGAGCACGTGTCAGCTTTCTATAAACCAAAGTTTTGATCTACAACGCTGTGAACGATTGGAAAATATCAGTGTGCATTCAACACTAAGCTCTGTAGAAACTGCTGAGAGAAGCATGTCATTTGGCCACCATGGCCGCGACCCTCCAGAGACACCATTTCGACACAGAAATAATACAGTATTATTACGAGGTAGAAGAAAACTTGCAGCTGACAGTCTCTATGGTCTCAGACGACAGTTAGAGTTTGAAAATCCATCAGCGGACAAACATAATATGAAAATGGGTTTAAACAATGTAAACGGCAGAGGAGAAATAGGACTTCATACTGACAATGATCAATGCAGAGGGCTAAAGAGGCACGTCGGGGGACGCTCCACGACTACTTGCTGCGACACCAGCAGGCTGATTGAAGCATTCAAAGGGCGCGTCAAAAAGGTAAAACTACAGAAGGACACGAAAGACAGTCAACAGAATGGGTTAAATCAAACTAGAAATAATTTGCATCTGCAAATTAACCAGAAAACTGTTCCCGAAAAACGAGTAGAGGATCTCGGTGTAGCCGAAAGTGATTTCCAAAATTTTCTCATCACTGCCGAGAGCTTGTACTTGCATCAAAAAGCGTGGAATGAACACAGAAACAAGCGAGAGTTTCTTCCCCGGAATATCCTTGAAGACTTTGGCATCGTGTCTCCTTTAGAGACCAACGAAAGCGACATGCTGTCACCTTCCCAGATTAAAAACTCTGCAACGAGCACCCCATTGTTGAAAGACAACAGAATTCGCCTGATGGCTGTTCAAAGGCGGGTGATTGGATTTCACAGATATTCCCAACGACAAGAGCTGGGGTTTAGCTTGGCTGAAATTTCAGGGACCGGCCCAACCTTGAGTGCGTGCAATTCTAGTTCCCAAATAATGAACGATAAAATTAATGGTTGCTGCAGAAAATCCATAAGTGTTTCTACCCCCAAAGACGGACCAGACAGTATCATTGAAATCAGTGATGATTGCAGCCGAGTAAACAGCTTCAGCAGAAGTGGCAACAACAGCTATGGTTCTCTTCACGGACTCTCTGACATGTCTAAAGATTTTGGTTATTTCCCCGAAAGCCTGACAGATAGATCTCATTCTACACTAAGCTTCTGCAGTACTCAGGAATTTTCCCGTTACTCTCCAAGCAACCGCTTATTTAGTAACGGGATAAACAGGCCAGGAAACGAGAACTCCGTCAGCCATCTTGATCTTTCTCATCAGTATGTCAACAAGGGATTTGCGTCCGGCAGTATGAACACATCGCATTGCTTCCCAACACCGTCCAGCCCTGGAATCATTGACATTGATGGCTCGAGATCGTCTTGTGGGATTATTTCGGTAGGGGACACCAGTCGTCAGTTAACCAGAAATATTATCCCTGGATACAGACCTTGGAGCAGAGATGGCCAAGGTTCAGCAAATGATGAGGAGGGAATGAGCACAAGTGGGTCCAGGAGCTCATTCAGTAGTGCCTCGTCTTGTTCATGCCGCAGTGGTTGCTCCAGCAACAGCAGTGATTGTATAGCTATCCAAAGCTCTAATCATAGTCACCCAAATATTAGCCACCGTAGAGATAATCATAGCAACAGTAGTCACTTTATGGTCAGCCATATCAATCATAGCCACTGCATATCTCGCCACGGCGATGGCACGCACCTTACAGGTAGCCGTAGCAATGACATGCACTGCATAGCTGGTCGCAGCAGCAGAAGCAACGGTTGTCGCCCGGCATTTTTTGAGAGCCCTGACAAAAACACCAACCAAGGTGGCAGATGCCGAGTGGTTGTGTCAAATGTGGCAATCGACAGCTTGGCCAATGACTGGGGTTTGGCCCCAGGTGATGGCATCGTCGCCATCAATCATTTGGACGTCAGCGGAATGACGTGTGGCCAGGTCGTCCGGATGTTTAGAGATGCGTGCAAGGACGTCATGCTGGAGGTGGAGAGAGTCACTCACGTTTACTTACTGGATTGATTGGAGTTTTTAATTGGCTCGAATCAACAACTGGATAGTAATCGGGTGTTGTCAACTCTGACAGAATTGTTTTCGGGTTTTGTCAACTCTGACTGAATTGTAATCGGTTTTTTTGTAAACTCTTGCTGAATTGTAATAGTTTTTTTGACAACTCTGGCTGAATTGTAATCCGTTTTTTGTCAACTCTGGCTGAATTGTAATCCGTTTTTTGTCAACTCTGGCTGAATTGTAATCCTTTTTTTGTCAACTCTGGCTGAATGTTAACTGGCTCATTTAGAGATGCTTTATTAACACGCTTAGACACTGGCGGCATAATATCACATGTCCTAAATTTTAAATACATTTTTCTACTGATTATCGCGTGATTCTGTTTCCCATTCATTTAAATTAAATAAGAATAATTCAGAAAGACGCAAGTGGTGGATAACCACCCTAGTATCAAGACTCTACTGATATATAAATGGTTTACAGTATGTCATCTAATACTTATTTTATTTAAAGAAAAACAAAAAAGTCTCAGGAAAGAACATTTCAATCTGTAAATAAAATATTTTTTTCTATCTAATAATCTGGGGTATCACTGTCATGTTCCCCTTAAGCTGCGCGGCTGCGCGGCCGCGCAGCTATCTCACAGACGCCGCGCAGCAGTTTTGAGTACCGCGCAGCAAATTTCCATGTTAGTGAGTGTTTGTGTATGTGGGCTGTAAAATCTTGCACACAAAAAATTGATGCTGCACACACCTGTATAATTTTACACACGAACCAACAAACCTTAGAGGGAACAATGATCACTGTTGGCATGATCTACTTGTACTAATGAACAAATTTAATGTGACCCAGCAACATCCACCCTCCCCAATATATATATAACGTTTTGTAAATAATTTTGTTTTTATGTTACAATGCCTATTATTATGTTTAATGAACTACAATTTACTCGGAAATTCGTTGGTTGAAATTTCTGTAATTATAAGTGGCATAAGGAAGAAAAAGGCGGGGGGGGGGGCGAAGGGCACGGTCCGTCTCGGTCAGTACTTTTTCCTCCTTATGTGGGGAGAGGGGGGGGCAGCATTTTCTGCCAATTGCATAGTTTTTCGTGAAAGTGGAAGCAAAAGTCTTGACCCGTGCCGGGCGGCCCTAACCCTGGCTACGCCACTGGTAGTTACTATTGTGAAGTAGCCTACCAAACAGGACCAGGTTGAAGCCTCTTACTCTATCATCCCAGGGCTCAGACAACAAATCCGACGCATACAAGAATAATGTTTTAAGTCTGGATCCAGACCCATTTCAGAGCCCTCACGTGACATTTGGAGAGCTCCATTTCCCTTTTCGTTTTATCCCCTAGCCCCTTTTTAAAAACTAAATATCTCTCTATATATATATCTGTTTTATGTTTTTTGCACCCAAAGTCGGTTTTTTAAAATTCTTTCCACAACTTTTGGGCACCTTAAATATCCGAGGCTCTCTGCAGACACACTGGTTGTAGGGCCCAGATTTGTTATAGGTTGACTTATCTCTGTATTATCCAAGATTACAAACCTGGCACCGTTGTTTTTGGCGTTTGACATTTAATATGACATTTATGTTCGGTGTTAACTTTGATGACATATTTCTCATAAGAACGTATGATATATATTTTAAAGAAATATGCAGCTAAATTTTGTTTTAATAAGTTTTCAAATAAAGTGTGTGTTAATCAATTTTATTGTTGGTGTTTTTTCTTTCTTGTTATTTCTACTGCCTCACTGCTGTAACACACATTCCCCATGAAATCCAACATGTATTCCCCCCAACAACTTAACAACCCAACAACAGTAGGGCTTTGGGCTAGCACCAAGATGACGTTAGTAGGCTTCGGGCTTGCACCAAGATGATGTTAGTCGGGCTTCAGGCTAGCAACAACATGACGTTAGTAGGGCTTTGAGCTAGCACCATTATGACGTTAGTTGGGCTTTGAGCTAGAATCAGATGAATGTGTATTTTTTTCCTCGAAAATTTGGTCGTGTCAAGCGTCATTCATTGCTTACACACACATGCGCTACAAGCTACACATCTATCATGCATCCTTTGCAAACAAAAATTGGACTTATCACGTGGTTAGCAGTTAACACCTCTATTTTCACATACCGTAGTCAAAGAAATTTGTTGGTAACAATAATTCTAGTTCTCTGCGTACTTTGCCCTATTTATACATGTGTACGTGTGTATCATAGATGTCTAAGGCTGAGACGCCACAATAAAGGTAAAGCAGTGAAACATTTTACCGACCTATCAATGGTCAAGATGTAGCCATTGTAGTAGTCTTACAGTAAAAACCGAACAGTGCCGTAGTACGCATGAATTCTACCTTTCCCTTTCATACTGGATACTTCCAAATAAAAATTACTTTTACATTGCTTAGTGCTGCAACTCAAAAATTGTATTTTTTAAATTGCTGCTAGCTAAACTGTTTAAGGCTACAAGTAAAATGCTTCTCAAATGACTTATCTCATCTCACTGAAACGTCAATGGAGTCATTAAAAGCATAAACTGAGATCTAAAAATATATTACATTTTATTAGCCTGTTTTTAATTTTTTTAATTAAGGTGGGATGTGCGGGGGGCGGGGTTGGGTGTGGGTGGTGACAATGAGCTGTTTTAACTGTTCTCATAACTTTTCATGTCAGATATAAACTTTTTTTTAGTAAACAAAGACGATAAGGTAAACAAAACATTAGCATTAATTCAAAATTGGAATAATTAGATGGAGACTAATTTGTTATGACACAAACACAGCAGGTCAGGAGACCTTCACATTGAACAACTCTTGAAAAAGAGTTATCTGACCTGTGTTTGTGTTTATTACCTCGCATCATAAAACGACTAAAAATCTTTTTTTTTTTTTTTCGTTTTAAATTTCCTATTAAACTAACTTAGGTTTATGTTGGACGCGGCTAAATGTATCCAGACTACATGTGTTTGTGGTGGGGAAAAAGGGGACGGTTGGATAAATTGAACTAACGTCACAAATTAAAAATGTCTTATTACTACATGTGCTCAAGAAGCTATCTTTGGTAGTTTGGTTTGGTATCTTTAACTTTAACCTTTTCGTATATATTCCCAAGGCCTTTAAAAAAAAAATATAGATCACACCTGTGAATTATCAAACTTTGTGTGGTGGTGATGATAAAACAAAGTGAAAGATAAACGCAGCGACTGCCAACTAGCAGGTTCATGTATACTTAGTTTCAAGTCACAACCAAACAGACTGCCCAAATTATGGCCCTTCACATAATTAGCATTTTTGTTGTAGTTCTGGCTTTTATAGGGTGGCATGCTTGTAATTATTGGTGCACGTCACAGCCGGAGTTGTCTGTAAGATTGGAAGAATGGAAACAAAGGGGGAAAATCGACCAACTGCAAGGAAGAAGTATCTTTTATGTTGGTATGTAAACAAAAATGAAGTTCCTTTTCTTTTTTAATTGCATTTTTAAAAAGAAAACACATTTTCATATTATGTAATTTCTTTGTTATTATTCAACCATTATTTGTTAGTTAACTCTTAAATATCACTTTTAAAGATTGTTTTTTCTGCTTATTCTAAATTAATTAGGCCTATATTTAATTTCATCCACAGATGAAGCAGGAAATGGTCCTCATGGTACACTTATTTGTCTCCATGGTTTCCCTACTAGCAGTTATGACTGGATAAAGGTAAACCCAGACTCAGTCTACATTGTGCTATTATAGGTTTTGAAAAAAAAAATGAAAGTTAAAACCATAATTTGATGTGGACATACTACTTTGTAATGATGATGACACACTTCATATTCTTAACATTATATATTATTTTTATGCTTTCAAAAACAGATTCTCCCGGACTTGAAAAATGAATTCAGTCGCATCATTTTGCTGGATTTCCTGGGATTTGGATTCAGTGAAAAACCAGTTAGTGATCCTTTTCTATTTCAGCAAGGCCACCAATCATTTATTTAGAGGGATAACATAATCGATAGTGCATATCTAAAAACTATGAAAACAATATTTGTGTTAGCACATTGACTGTGATGTATGTTACGTAGGCCTATACATGCATCAATTTTTAGTATGGAAATAAAACTAGTAATTCATGCATATTATTATCGATATGGTTGCCATATCAGTTACAAAGGGTGGCGTAACTAGCAGAGGGGTATCTAAGGGTGCATAGAGGGACATATGTTCCAGACAAGTGAAGGAACCAAATGGGGCTTTGATGGTATTTTACTGATGAAAATAATGAGTTTCAGTGTTGAAAAGGGGGGGAGGGGGCTTTAAAAAAATCAATCATGTCCAAGGGCGCCAAATACTCTAGCTTTGCCTCTGATTACTAGCTATGTTTGTATTGAGAGAGATTAAATGGGGCTTTGATGGTATTTTACTGATGAAAATAATGAGTTTCAGTGTTGAAAAGGGGGGGGGGGGCTTTAAAAAAATCAATCTTGTCCAAGGGCGCCAAATACTCTAGCTTTGCCTCTGATTACTAGCTATGTTTGTATTGAGAGAGATAAGAAATTAGCACCATTGGTAAATTATTAATGAAAATTGCAAAATGATTTGCAATTTTAACACATCAATACAACCACAACTTCATGTACGACACTGAAATTATAAAATTATTTACAGGTCAATTATCAAAGCTTTGGCAGTAAGATTGAACTACTATTGACCTGTTAATAGCTTTATAAATCCTAATGGTTCTTAGAAGACATGTAACAGTTTTTTTTTATTAATGATTGTGTTTCTAGACAGATCACACTTACACCATACAGGAACAGTCCCACATAGTGGAGTCCCTTGCCATGAAAGAGAACATTAAATCAGCTCACATCCTAGCACATGATTATGGTGATACCGTAGCACTGGAACTCTTGGGAAGGTGAAATATTCTCTTCAAATTCCGTGACAAAATTGCAAGCAAAAACTAATTTTAAAAGCCAACACATTATTATATTCAAATGGTTAAATAAAAGATGGCTAAAGTTTAAGGTTTATTTGCTGTTTAGAAATAATTCATGTCTTTTGATTTATTTCAGGCACAATGTTGATTGGCTGCAATTCAAAATTCTTTCTTTAACCATGTTAAATGGAGGTAGAGTCCTTATTTTGTTTTCAAGCAATGCATATTTTTGAGGATGAGCCATTTCTTTTACAGATCATTTGCAATTTAAAATTGATAATTAGATCTTAACATAGTGGAGTAGTCTAGGCTCTGCTTTTAAAAATCTTATTGTTGATTTCTTATTTGAAACAGGCATCTTCCCAGAGACACATAAACCTCGGCTGGTGCAAAAAGTGAGTGCTGTCGTTTTTATTCACATGGAGAATGACTGTATCATTCTGTTATGATTGTAGGGTTGGCTATAACATCATTAAAAGAAATTTTTTACTAAGGACTACATCTTTTATTTCAGCTTTTGTTGATGCCAGTTGTTGGCTACATAACAAGTCATCTATTTAATTATCCCATGTTCTCATTTGGGTAAGTAGAGGAACTTACTTGTCTATATATATAGAATGTGTATATATAATATGCAAATAAAATGTGTCTTTAAGTGTTTTCTGTAATAAATAAAAATGACTTTATGCTGCAAATATTATATTAACTCTTAGAGTGCTGCAAACATCAACTCTCAGAGTGCTGCAAACATTAACTCTCAGAGTGCTGCAAACATTAACTCTCAGAGTGCTGCAAACATTAACTCTCGTATAGCTGCCCTTCTCAGTCCTTATGTCAGTTTTCCTAAACTGATTATAAGTAGGCCCTAAATTCCAATTTCCTGAATGCTGACTGCTCATACAAATGTTTTGTATTTTAATATAATATTTTACTTAATACATTCTGTCTTGTTTTTAGAAATACTAGATATAAGTTAAGTTGTTTGATAATAATAAGAGTGTAATAGATTTTTATGATTTATTTACAGTAGTATTGAAAAAAGATAATTCTTACGTTTAACCATTAGGAAGGATGTAAACATATTTAATTAATATATTACATACTATATTTTAAAGTTTATACACAACTTATCATGTGACCATGGAATTTTTTTTTTTGGAACCAGCTAATAAATTTTATATATGTCTGTAAATTGCAGTTTTGATGAAATATTTGGTGTTAACAAACCAACTGAAGAGGACGACAAAGATTTCTGGGCACTGCTGTGCTACAACCATGGTTATAAAGCAACATACAAGTAAAAATATTTGATTGAATATATTAAATCTATATAAGGGCTATAAAGTAGGTGAATCGACTAATGCTTTGGTGTTTATCTTTATTGAGGACTCGTTTGTTTTTACAGTTTTGATAAGCTTGTGTGCCAGATCTGAAACACTGCTATGGGTTGTTCATATTTATTTTCAATATGTTTTATATTTTCTTAGATTTTTAATGTTTACATGGTTGTCATAAATAAGAAACATAACTTAATCAACCAATTTTTTGGGGTCTGTTTTCGGTTTTAAAAAAATAATAATTTCAACCTGAAGATTCTAAACGCAAAGTGGCAACTATAATAAGAAACTGTATTTTGAGGCCTATCTCAAGTTTTTAAATAAATGTTTTGATAAATGTTGCTGAATGCTTTACATTTTTTTTTGGTCAGCTTTTAGTTTTAGATTAAAATTTGGTTCTTTTTATAGATTTAAAGTATAAAATTTATAATTAATTTAAAAAAAAAAGATTGCATCTCGTTTTAAACTTCCACTTCTACTTCTGATCATTAGATTAAAAAGTAACTGTTGTCCTCAGAGTCATAAATTTTTTACCTGAGCGGGAAACATTTAGAACCAGATGGGTTGGAGCCCTGGTGAATGCTCAGATTAAAGGTAGAGTTGTCTTGTCATCTAGGATAATGCATTGTTCAAATAAAAAAAAAATGATAAACACAGTTTCTAAGGTAAAAACCAAATATAACATTGAACAGTGAAATCAAAATTAATTTAGGCCTGCTTGAAGGATTTCAGCATTAGTTTTAGGCAAATATATTCACAGCTGAACTTTCATTCATCCCTCCCAACCTCTTTTATGCCACAGTCATGTAACCACAAATATCATTTATTAATTTTTTCAAAGCATCAGCTGTAGCTTGTGGATAAGTGAATAAAAATAAACCACTTGCACATTCATCATGTCACACAATCACTGGCAATGGGCTACTTTTGTATAATAATTTAATTTTATAATATTGATTTAATATTTACCATAACAATAGGAGTACACGTATTTCAAATTTTATCTTTCTAACACGGAATAGTCCTGATGATTTATGGGCCTGCCGATCCTGTCAATCCACCTGAATTTGTTTCGCTATTTAAGTAAGTTATACACAAATTTAGCTCACAGGAACCTAATTCATTTATTTTAACCTACATATTCATCTTAATCAATAATCCATAACATCACAATAATTTTGACACAGGAAAATCAACTTAATTATGAAAAATAGTTATAAATCTATATTGCAGATCAAAAACCCTGAATGATGCTTCAAAAGATAATAGGCTTTTATGTTATTTTAAAATCCTGGTACAACTATTTTGTCTTGAGCACATTAGTATAAATGTTAACCGAGACTTTAATGTTCAGAAAACCATTAGCATGTGACCCTTATTTCAAACAGTAATTTTATTTTTTATATGTGCATTTTGTCTCACATCTATAGGAAAACTGTGCCCAAACAAACTATCATATCCCTGGACACAGAGGTGGGCCATTACCCCCAATGGGAAGATCCAGCTTCAACTACAAGAGAATTCTTACAATTTATTAAGAGTCAGAAAGCAGTACCGTCACAAGGGATCAAGGTATAAATTTGATCTACTACAGTTGGGTGCACATTCAGAAAATTAGTTTGGAATTTATCAAAGAGTTTTTGCTCCTGCTGGTGTTTGTTGGGGGTGAGTTTAGCATTATATTACTACAGATCAAATAGAGCTAAAAATTACTATTTTCAAAAATAAAAGTAGTAATCGACTTAAAGCAACTTCTGCTTCCTAACGGCTAGGATCAAATGATTGTGTACTGTAAATGAGGGGATCATGTGCTAAATGATCATTCTTAGATAAAACAATACAATCAATCTCGTCATAAGTGCAACAGAAAATGCATTGATTTTATATTTGTTGCAAGATATAATAGCTTGGGAAGCACCAAGTTTAACTGTCAGATTTTAATATGCAATATGTAGAAAGTAATATTTTTTAAAAAATTAAAAAAGAAAAAAATTAAAGAAGATGCTTTATTATTAGTATTTTTATTACTAGTTACAAAATTGTCTGTAAAATGCATTTGTTCAATCCAACAACTTAACCTTGTACACATAGATCTAAACTATATTGTAAAAAAAATTAATTTATACACAAATCAAATTGTAAAAAATTCTTAATGTCAGTTGTCAAATCAGTTATAAATCAATATTAAATTTATCAAAAAAAATCAAGACAAGAGTTAACTTAATATAAAGTGCTATTATTATTAAAATTGTGTGTGATTTTTCTTAGAAAATATAATTTTAACTATAATTGCCCAGATCCTAACAGTTGTAAACACTAAAATCAGTGAAACAAAGGATGAGAGAGACAGTTAATATCTTAAAAAAATAAATTGTATATTTTTGTATTCGATCAGACACACGTCGTACACAACCATAAACACTGACATGGTTATTGCAGAGTGCATGTACAAACAATTGTGAAAATGGCCATAAAAATTATATTCAAGGGACAATTTTTAATATATGTACATAAACTTTACAACATCAGCAATTTGTTTTAAACGTTTCAATACTTGATAATACAAAAAAACAAGACAACTTAAGAGAAGATTTAAATTTATTGGGACAACTTTTTCCATGTCAATTTTAAAACACTTATTAAATTTAAGTCACATTTCCATGCAATATGCACATAAAGCAGGGGTTCTTAACAGGGGTGCTTATACCAGCTGAGGTGCTGGGGGAATTTTGTCAGGGGTTGTGAAAGACTCAGAAAAACAGGTTTATTTGCATCTTTATTAGCATTTTTTATTTTGGGGAGTGCGGGAAATATGTTTTGAGATCGAGATAGAGGTGCTTGAAATATTTTGAAATTAAGAGAGGGGGGAGTGCTGCAAAAAAAAAAAAGTTAAGAGCCCCTGCCTTAAAGGCCTCAAAGGGTTTGGCCCAACCAAACCAGAAGCTATAGCATAATCTTATTTCATATTATATCAGAAAGTCCTGCCTCAATTATAAATTGAAACACTTGAAATGCATTTAAGCCTATTATCCTTCCTGAATATAACAACGTAACTCTTTTTGGCTGCAATAATTAATTCCATTTTGATATGTTAGATGACAGCTATTGAGATTCAATATAGCATTATATTGTTATTTTTAAATGGTAGATAGTACAGTGAAAACACAAAAAGAAGAGTACATTCTGTAAATACTGAAATTTTTTTACGAAAAGTGGCAACAGCTAGAATAAGTAAAATGTCAATAAGACCTGCTTTTTTACATCTTTTGTTTTTTTTAAATCTGCCAAAATGGTGGAAAATCAGAATCATATTATTTCAAGTCAACTAATGTCTCATGCATTATTACTCGGCAAGAAAAAAAAGAAAGAAAAAAAAGAAAGAAAGATCGAATTGTTGTTGAATTAACTCTTGCAGATAAATGACAGCATCTAGTAAATATAATTCGTGTCTTATATCAGAAACATATAAAAACAAAGTGTTATAGTTCCAATCTTATGTATTAAAGATTTTCTACAAAGTTATTACCAATGAGGCTATTTAACTTTCATGCATTTTTTAAATTTTATTATAGAGAAATTCAAAAATCTATTTCATCTTTTCCGTAAGTTTGATAATACAAAGTGATTTTTAGAGTGACATAATGTTATTCATAAATCATGTTAGCTGCCATAAAACCCTAAAATGAAATAAGTGTATTTTATTTACATTTTTTTAAACTGATGGATTCTATTATATAATTCAGTAAAATGTTTATTTTTTTTTGTTTTTCTTCTCAAATTTACAATTTAAAAGATGATGTGGTATACACAAAATGTAATGTTTTAATAAAAAATTAAAATTCATAGAGAATTTATGATTCCCTCACAAAGTGGCACTGGAAATCTGTGAAATTTCCTCATCAACACCAGGAACAGAAACATTGCAAATCCCATCTACATGCATAGGAGCCAAAATAATCAATAAATTGATCCTGGGCCCTTAAGATATAGAAGAATAAGAAACAACACTAAATATGTTTCATAATAAGAAAATATGTTTATATAAATCTGTATTTACAATAAGTGGAATGGTTATTTGCAGTCACCCATAATCAGTCATAAACAACTAATAATATATATACCTGATCTAAGTAAATTGTAAAAAGCAATCCACTTGTACTGATATATAACTAAATTATATTTATAGTAAAAGAAAAATTCAAAAATTTAGTTTGATACATTTTTAACAATGTTTTTCAGGGGCAAAAGTATTACACTTAACAAACCTTAAACTTAATATAAATAGAAAATAATGTTTTTCTTAAAAGTACCTGAAACTGAAAGTAAAATGTGAATATTAATGGCATTTGAACCAGTTTTTCAAATTATTGAACAAGTTGATAAATATTTATACTTATACTATAATAAAGTACTTCAGTTTTAATTTAGTGTATTAGGTTAAATTGTATTTCAATTGTATATTATTTATACTATTTTATTCACAAACTTGAATAATAAAGAATTTCTGGCCATATTGTCAGACAAAAAGTAATAAGCAATAACAAATGAGCATTTAACAGTGGTAAAACAAAACAAAAAATATTTATTCCCATTAAACTGTTAATCAAATTATTATGTAACACAAACTATTGTACAATATTTTTTTTCCAACTGCATGTCATAAGAATTTCAACCTAAGTCCAGTAAGGACAAGGTGTACCAGCTGCACAGGAGATGGAAGTTGTTTTATCAATTGAGCATCATTTAGAGTCTACACAAATTGATTATACGGATTAGCTAGCTGCCAAACAACCCGAGAATTCTAGAGCAGCATAAACGGGACACCCCCCCCCCCAGTAAGTTAGCAAATGAAAAGTTAAATAATGTCATTTTAACTGTAAACAGACTGAGGTTTCTTGCGGATTATCTATACTGAAATGTACCTCTCTGCTTGGCATGGGAAACACATTAGTCAAATCTAGCAATTTGTGTGAACAATCACTAGACTGGATTTCTTCATCTCTGCTCCATTTAGTTAATTAACCATTAAAACATATGTCAGGTTTATTTTATTAATAACTTGTAACCCAAAAATAACAAAATCTAGCAATGCAAAATTTTACAAAGTCTTCGGCCCTAATATTTGTATAAAATTTCCTATGCTTATACTTTGGATTCATGCGAGGGACTTAGGCTTTCTTTATTTTTCCCTGTTGAACATTGATATAAAAAAAATAGGCTTTCCCTAACTTGGAAGGTCTTAAACTGTGGAGTCATCAAATGGGATCCTGTCTCGAATGGCATAATTATAAACTGGTGCCTCGTGAGTGGAGTTAGGTGTTGAAGATCTCTCAGGTGGTGGTGCTACTGTGTTGTGGACTCCGCCCCCTGTGTAGAATGCAAGATTTTCATGGCTGGAAGATGAGGCAGAGGGCATGATGGCAGGCTGAGATCTTCCAGCGCTTGGGGCCAGAAAGGATGGTTCTGAGTCATCCAGCATGAGAACTGCAAAAGAATGGTCAACAACTTACGAATTAGCTTTAATACGTACCATTGGCTTTTAAATTTGACCAAAATAAAGATTTTTTTTATTGAATATCCAGTGAAATATATTCTAAACTGTGCAATTAGCCTGCAAGAATTCAAAAAATGTATAGTTGCTTTAAAAAAAAAAAATTGTCCAATATTTTCTAGCATTTTTTTGCATTTTAAGTCATCAGGTTTTCAAACACAATTGGAGGGTGGTGTTAAATAAACATTGCGTTAATTATTCAGCATAACAAACAAAAAAAATGTGTGAAATCCACTTACCTGTACAATTAAGAAAAGGAATAACAGCTACTATATCTAATGTAGGCCTTTTCACCTTTATTTTATATAAATAGTTATCTCACTCATACACTGATAGGGCTCAGTTATAAAAAATTTGTATTGCTGTAGATTTGTTTACATAAAATCAGAAATAATTATTATAACATAAAAATGAGCAACTTACTGTTGGTCTCAGGAGGCAGTTCAGCAAATCCACTTTTGGTAGTAACCCTTGTGATGGTCTTACGTGTGATTTGTGGATTTTCCCCAGGCTTTGGATCAGTCGGGTCAGGCACTGTGTCAGTCCATACAACCTGACAGTATAACAAAGTATAATATGCTCATTTAGAAGAAGTTCCCTTCAGGTCTAATATCCTTTGATGCATTGGCAAATCGGGACAAAGGATTAATTAATTTTTTTTCTTCATCTGATGGATTGTGAACATTTGGTTAAAAGGTTCTTAGTGGATTTTTGTTTCAGTTAAACTTTATTCTTTTGTTATAAATTACCAGTTTTATAAACTGAAATTAGATAATAAATTTAAAAAAAGCTTGAAAGGTTTTGAATGAAGCGATTAAAAAAAATGTAATGTTCCTCATAAATCTTAAGCCGCTACAGGTTTTAAAAAGTGGAAGAAAACATAACAGTGAGCAGCTAAATAAGCTTATTTTTAAAGTCAAGCACTTTTATTTTCTGTCAGTTTATTAAAATACACATTTTTGGCACACTTCTACAAATAGCTTTAAGAAGTTAAAAAAACACCACCACCATAATAACCTACTTGCGTTGTGTGAATGCCGGACTTAGGATCGGTTCCAGATTTTAATGCAACAGATCTCTGACCTTGGCCTGGATCAGGAGGAGCCGCCCCTCTGGCAATAAGTGACAAATCAGGGTTGGGTATGACGTCTCGGATGCGCCCTTGTCCTTTTCTTTCGCTGTAAGGTGAGCCCTTGAAAGGGTCGTTCTTGCGTCTGCGACTCTCTGGAGTCCTCTTATTTGGCGACATCTCAACGGCATAAGCCTTTCTAAGGTTTCCAGCTGTTGTTGGCGTGTCCTGAACAAAGTAAGCTCCGCCCTGTGGTGCTGCACCAGCCTGGGGAACTGTTTGATAGGCATAGGCATATGTCTGAGTGCCTGGTGGCCCAGGAGCAAATGCTCCAGCAGGGATCAGGCCATAAGGATAAAAACCTCCAGGATATCCAAACTGATTCTGTTGTTGGTTTCCTGGGTAGTTAATCCCAGTTATAGCCGTGGTGAAAATGGGTTCAAATGCTTCTGGTGGCAGAGCGGTAGGATCAGGTTCCTTACCCCTGCGCTTGGACAGTGGCGAGCCCTTTTTCTTTCGCCGCAAGCTTGCGTTGGGCGATTCTGCCTCATCATCCACACTTGCTCTGACCCCCCCATTGATGTGCAATGGGCTGGATATGGTGTCAGAGTCAGGATGACTCTGCAAGTCCATGGACATGTATCTCTCTAGGTTACCTTTGTCCATGTCTTTTGTCTCAGGCATGTCGCCTTTTCTTTTCTGTTTCGGTGACCCACTAGGCCGCCTCTTGTGCAAAGTTGCTGTGTCATCTGTAACTTCACTCCCTCTGGCAGAGTCTGAATCAAACACGTCATCAATCAGTGTCTCCTTACTTGTGTTATTTCGATTCACCGCTTCTTCTCGCCTCCTCCTCTCCTCTTCCTCCTTACGCCTTTTCTCCTCTTCTTGTTTCTTTTTCTGCTCAGCAATCCTCCTGGCTTCCTCCTCCTCTCTTTTCTGTTGTTCGAATCCATACTGCTCGTAATCATGTCGGGATGTTCTATTCATGGAGTCACCGGGTCTTTGCACATTTCTATAATTATTGTCAAATCTCCTGCCGAATGTACCTTTCTGATACAAGCTGCCGCCTTGAGACTGTGACTGGGGATTATACTTTCCTGTGGTCACTGTTTCCCATATAACTGGATCCTGTTAACAAAAATTAAATACATATCGAACAATTGGAAATCAAAAGGTAAATTAGCTTAACTGAACATCCGAAAAACAAAGAAAAATAATGTTTTACGCATTCAGGATGCAATTAATGACATGAGCCAATTCTGGCTGAGGCTTTAAGAAATTATGACAATGGTTAAAAGAAAATTCCATTTAAGTCACTTTCATTATAGTGAAATTAAACACTCTAATCAAACTTTATTGTTGTTAGCAATTTGAAGGTGTGGTCATAAATAAACACTACAGTCATCATGTGAGCTGAGAAAAAATAATAGGAGGTTTTTCAGACTTCAGTCCTCACCTTGAAATCTATTATCTCTTGTTTAGATGTCATTGAAGAGCTATTGACCCCTGAACTTTTTGATGGCGCTGCTTTGGTGATAGAACGGCCAGGCACATTGAAGTTACCAAGTCGACCTGAAAAATTTCTCAAAATTATATACATTTAAAGAAAATTTTTTTTTTTGGTCAGGAGCAGTGTCCAAGAGTTATCATATAATTTAACTAGATCAATTATAATTATATTAAATATCTTTTTTTTAACTTGCACAATACTTATGTATGATTCATTTTTAAAACCTATATTTTACGTTTTTGCAACATGCCTATGAACATTTTCTGGTAGAAAACAGATGCTCTTAAGTATAACAATTATATAGGCACAAAACATTAACAATCTTAGACACTTGCCTGTACAGCAACACCACAAGAAAAGAACAATAAGAGCTATGAGTATGAGACAACCAATCACAATCCCAATAATAGCACCAACTGGCAAGGCATCAACTCCCATTTTAGTTCCTGGTACATTTTGATCCTCTGTCAAACAGAATTGGTCATTTTAGGATTTGTTCAAAACAAAATTTTTAACCTCCTTAAATAAACCCAAAAAATTTCAACACCATTAAGATTCAGTTATTATATTTATAAGAGAAAACAATATTTTTTTCATATCTTTTTCTCTATGAACATTGACAGATTTTTCAGGATAAAATCATGTACATGTTACAAAGCAAAAGTATAATTTTGTAAACACTGAATTATACTTCAAATTTCAAAATGTAAGACCTTGATAAAACCCACATTGTAAACATAAATGTAATAAGATTAAATTTTCAGATTGGAATGATATTTTTCTTCTTTTCCTAAAACTTAGTTGAAACTCTGAGTTGATCATAACTTTATATTGTTATCACTTACTGTATGGTTTAATAAGAAGTGAATATTGGTACTCATTGTGCATAAGTCTGTCAGGACGAGAAAACCTGACCGTCACCTCACGTCCAGTAGAATAGATAATACCAGTTGACCCATACTGACAAGACAGGGCTTGCTGTAAGTAAAACATAAAAACATGAACTTTGAGAATTAAAATAAAAATAAGGTTGGTTAAATTTTCTTAAATTTTGTCAATTTTTTGTAGTTTAACAATAGTTGTTTTTTCAAAGGTTATTTGTGTATATAATATAAATTAATCTGACATGAACTTTAGTATTTATGAAAAAGCTTAACTACTAGTTAATAATTTTAAAATAATTATCAGATAATACCTAAGTCATTGAATGAAATTTTTTATTTCTTTTGAACTATTGGCCTATGCTTAAACATAATTTCTGCAACTTGAAGCTTATTCTATAAAATAGCATGAAATACATACCAATGTGTTTCCAACACTTGAACGTCCGTTATAAAGATCTACTTTTACAGTACAGTCCTTGATATTGAGTGACTCGACCTCAATCTGAAGTTTATTGCTGCCATCATCCCTAGCATAGACAGACATCATGTACACGATGCATTCTAGTGGTGGGTTAGATGGTGCTGTGTTTCCTCGTCCATTAAGACGCACTCCGTTGTCATCAACATTCAGTGTCCTACCACAAGTTGCATATTCATCCATGTCATCTAGAAATTAAACATTCATTTGAATTCATTGAAAAAGAAATCTTTAAAGTATTTCAAATGTTAATTTCACATTGAATTTGGACTCACATTTCAAATTAAATAAAGATTTTATGTAACATAATATTACAAAATATTTATAAACAAAGTCTATAAAAAAATGCATATCATAAGATATAAGCATTTCAGTTTGTGTTGTAACTGTTTTTAAAAACATTCCTTCCCCACCACCCACATTTTTAAAAAAATGTTTCATTTTGTATTGATAGTAGCACTTTTTAAAAACATTTCTTTATTTGTTTCTTTGCACAACATAATTATGTAGTAACAGAATCTACAAGGACATTAACATGCCAAATGAAAAATCAATCTAGAATAAAAGATGTGTCTGCTTTTCAAAAAGTATCAATTATAATTTTTATTTATCTATTAAGTGGGCATTAAATTTTTTCAAATGAACCATTACAAGTATGTGCCCTAATTATATACTGTTTAATTTAATGGAACACTAATTAAGTAATTAAACTTTAAAAAAAATTAAATATATGCGTTCTATAAAGTAATTTTGGGTTATTTCAACAGGTTTTAGTGTAATAGCATATCCAAAATGAAGAATTCAAGCGCTTCTATCTGAAACTCTATACTAATATACCATATACTCTACTTTTTAAAAAATCTGAAATTTTAAATAAGCAATGAAAACAACTAATTTGTTCTGCTTTAAAAAAAAAAAAAACTTCACAAAATGAATGATAGTCTAATATGGAAGAAGGCATCAAAAAAGCTATCCCATAAAATTTGGAGAGTAGGGTATGTGAAAATATCAGGAAATTAACAAAAAAGACACCAACAATTGTTTTGTTATGTCATGTCTTTTTTCTAGCAGTAATTAATATAGGCCTATCTTTTTGATTAATATTTCCTCTAAATATTGAGAACATGATGGATGCAACTCTTCGGACCCAGGATTCAGAAGTGAGAGGTTGGGTTTATTAAAAAAAATATTTAAACCAGGGTCCCTTTAGACTAAATGCTATTTGGACGTCATTTGTGGTAGTTTATTTTAGTTAAACTTAAACTGAAGAATGAAGTTTACAAACATAGACCCTATAATCCATTCAATTATCTTTCATCTGATAACAAATTTTGTCAAACAAAACTAACAATAATATTTTAAATATTTTTTTAAAATAAACCAAGCCTCTCACTTCTAAATCCTGGGTACGAATACTTAGTATTGAAAAAATATAGCTTAAAATAAGTCAAGATAGAACCTAGATCTAGGCTTCTTGTTGGTTATTTGTATGTTTTCTACCTACAGCTTGACAGCCAGTACTCACATTCCCTCACTGTTTGCCCAACAACATCCACCCACATCAAAAGCCACAAGCTAAAAATTATAGACATCACTTTGGCTTTCATCTTGGCATGAATTTCTGTCTCAGCCTCAAATCATCTCCAGATTCTAAACTTCACTTTATTCTTCTGTGGAAAATGCCGTAAAATTGGCTTAGAATTGAAAAACTTATGAAAAGTTATTAGATTCGCCATTGTTAAAAATGAAGATAATAATAATAATAAATAAAGTATTAAAATTAAAGCCTAAAAAATCTTAAGTCAAAGCATTTTTCATACTCAATACATTTTCTTAACCTACATAGTAAGCCTAAAACTAAAGTAGGAATTTCACCATGAGCCCAGGAAAGTCATAGGCCTCTGTCATAGGTAAGCGTACATAGTGTTTACTTGTCTTTTTTTGGTTTCAACATTGTTCATTAGTCATTAGTATACTTATTAACTTATTATAACTTAAAAGTAGGTTTCAGTAGGCCTATATACTATAAATAAAGCCAACTTTATTTATAAATTATTCAGCAGAACTCGTCGTGTATAGTAGGCCTATGTCGCCTATGTCTATAATTTGATAAAATTTCATATATGCAAACTTACTTTCTTGATTTAGACATGACTATATGAGATCAATCTCATGATATGACTATTTCCGTGTTGATATCGCCATTTTGTGTCTCTTAGAACGGATGGCGTGACCCAGTTTCAGATAGTCCCAGTACGCCGACGACACACAGGTAAGCATTGTCACCTGGATGTGGGGGAAAAAAAGGAGGTGGGAAATAACCGATAAACTTGAAATGTGTACTATTTGACTATTGGCACCTAAATATCACTAGGCTTAATACTCCTACACGAATAGACGGATCTTGACTAAACTTAGTCCCTACATATACACTTGATTATCCATATTCAAATACTGAAGGTTACTGAAGTCATAATATCCATTTCTCTGGGGCCGTTAACCCCATTTCATTTTCCTTAAATAAGCTAAATAAATATCACTAGGCTGCTTAGGCCTATAGGCCTATGTTCTATGTTCTAGTAAAAATGTATTACTTTAAGATTTTCCAAGTTTCAAATTCTGGCTAATAATTAGGATTTTCAATTTAGTAGTAGGCTAACATTGATTACAAAAATTTTAAAAATTAACAAAAATAAAATTTAAAAAATCATTAAAAAACAAAAAAACAAACTTAAATGCCTTAATGAAATGAATCCAATTTGTGGTCGAAATGGAAAAGGTAGCGGGTAATGAGGAAAAAAGTTTGAATTGAACTATTTGATTTTTAGATCTTAAAATTAATTATTATTCACGTTAAAAATAAAAACAACAAAATTTAATATTCTGTTGCGAGGCAGGCTACACGACATATTAAAAATGTCTCTTTAAAAAAAAACTAATGCTGACAACAGTTTAATAAGAACATTGGCTACACATGCAAAAAAAACAAAACAACAACAATAGTTTTAAAAACGTAAAATGATTTATGATGTACCTATTTGTTTTAGCCCTTAACCACCCCCACCCCCCTTTATTTTTGGGGTTCTTTTTTTGTTGTTTTTGTTTTCCTTTTTACCATTGTTTGTTATAGAATTTAAGATAAGAATCTACTAGATTTCTAAAAAAAAAAACACACAAAAAAACAACTATTTCTGTCTCGATATGACTATACCAAACTAAAGGCATGACCTAGTTTCAATCTTGGACTAGGAAACAGGTAAGCTTGTTCACCTGGCTTAAAAGAAGTAACCGATACATTTTAAAAATGAAATAATGCTTAATAGCCGCATATCTTAAATATTGAATCAATAAATTTACTGTTATTCATTAAAATAGTACTGCATTAGTATTGATTTTTAAAATAACTATAACAAAGAAGGGGGAAATATTTTTTAAGTGTGGTAATTTGATCGATAGATCTGTGCTGTAAACAAGGAAGCGACTGTCCCCAAATAAAGGTTCAAAATGGCTACCAACTAGCTCGTTACCTTGTCAGGTAGGCTACAGGTACGATGTTACTAAATACTAATAACTCAACGATTTTTCGTTTATTAAAAAAAAAATTGCCGTCACCAAGACGCCGCTTTATATATATTTGAAATAATAGGCTTAATTGTTGTCCAATTTACATAGTAATATTTTATCATTTATAGTTTTGTCACACTTAATTCATTTATGATATGATTGCTATTATTATTATAATTATTAACTTAAGTCTTAGTTTAAGTCTAGTCGCCTTTTGAATATGTCTCATTAAATCATTTACGAAGGGTATACAGTTATAGAGTATATAGGAATAGAATTAGAAGCACGACAATCTGTGTCTTAGTCTTAGAACTGTGTATAAATAAATGAGAACGTGAAGACAAAAGTTTTGACTGCACTGGTTACTGTTATACTTATACTGTTAAAACTGTTTAAAATGAATGCCATTGTAAGACTCAAAATAAAAAATTCAATATTATTTTCATTTTTTGACCATTATGATTATAATACTAATATTTGAAGTGTTGAGCCATTTCGACAATACGGCCAACAAAAACCGTGAATAACCTAGCAATGCTAATATTACCTAGTGAAAACCAGCAGCTCAAAATTTTATCCTTACTTACTTACTTACTATTTTTGAATTAAATGAAACATTATCAAGCATTAATGCACCTACAGCCTAAAGAAACTTTATCTTAAAATTATCAAACAATAACCTCTTTAAATAAAAATTAATTTTAAAAAACTAGGCACAAAAATAATTATTCTAAAAAGTCTCTATACAATAATATACTAATAAATAAATTGAGAATATATATTTCCAGCAATCGCATATATGTAAAAAATGTTAGTACCAATGACCATTGCGTTTTTTAACCCACAGTTACAGATATGATTAAATGAAGTAAAACAGAACAGGCTGTGCAGAATGTAAATCAGGCTGTGCAGAATGTAAATCATGTAATTTTAAGAAACTATTTGATCAAATCTGCAAAAAAGACACGATGGGTGTGTGGAGACCCAGTACATCACTGTGGACTGCTGGAATCACAGCTATGCTGCTGTCAAAGTGTGTGCTGGGGCAGCTTAACCCGGCATTAGCCAATGATCCACTTAACACCAATGCTGCCTCAAATATTTGTAAGTGAAAGTTTGTGTATCTTTGAACAAAACATTTGAATGCTTTATTTTAAATCACTGATTATCGAATTTAATTTTTAAAAATATTTTATTGTTTTTGTTTACAGTTTGAAGCCAATGTCCAATTTTTTTCCCCCTAATAGTAGTTGCACTATTACAAATTAATATTTTAGTTATAAGTAATTATGAAGCTTTTTGAAAAAAAATGTAAGCAAATTTTATTTACTGTGATATCCAACATGTAATAATATTTTTAAAAAAAAGAAAAAAAAAGATCAAGAACCTATCAGCCTAGTAGGCCTAATTAAAAGTTTTACGACAAGCTTTTTTTTGAACCCATTATCTGTTCATTAACATTATAGGGCCTTGATCTATGGGTGGAAATGAATTAATCATAGTTAATTTATTATATAGATTTAAAAAGTTAAAAACAATACATTTTATTTATGCTATTCATGAAATTTAATCAAACTTCTTCTGTTTAAAGTTTACTTTGATAGCAACAGTGACTGCAATGGTCCCATCAAAAACCTGTTTGGGATTCAAGCAACAATTCGTGGCTCAGATCTGTCATCCCAAAGGCTTGGGCCAACAACGTGCACCATACGACTGCGGTCAGAAGGGCAGTTTGATGGCACCGTCCTTGACATTGAAGTTAAATCAATGAACATTCTTGACTGCACAACACAAGTTGCCATTTATGATGGTGATGGGGCCCAAATTTTACTGGTTAGTCCACAAGATTTCTAGCAGAGATTTACAATATATCAAAGATTTACTCTTTAATAAGATGGGATGAAATTTAACAGTAAAACAAAGGGAAATATAAACTTCGATAAAGAAGTTTGCTTCAGGTTGACAATTTTTTAATAAAAAAAAAAATGTCAATGTTAATTATCAGCTAAAGTTTTATCTCGTTATTCAGATGTCATATGACTGTCGCTCATCCCAGAACCAAAACAGAAAGAGGTTTTTAACATCAGGAAACACAGCAACGTTCATCATGACCAGGCAGAACGTCAACAGTTTCCAGTTTGATATTGAAATCACGATTAATCCAGTCAGATGTATGTGATTTATCAGCACTTTTTAATATTTCTACAGTGTCATTGTTATTGTCTAGCAGTTGTATTATATAATAGTGCAAAGCCTATTCTCTTATTATATTAATCAGTCATGCATAATTTATTTGATCTATTTTAAATTTAATACACTTAAATTTTCAAAACAGAGCAAGTAAACATTATTGCTAATTCCTAATAAAATACATGTATATATTTAAAAATAAAAGAAGTTATGTTTGGTGGGTTGGGTTAATAAAGGATGCATTTTGGTAATGAGATTATCTTATGTTTGAATTTCTTTCTGGTCAGTTTTATTTGTCTAAACAAGGCATAACATAATTATGTGATCTGCTTAGTTTATAAACAAAGCTCAGGTGAAATAAATATTTTGTCCTTTTTGTGGACTGTTTGCTTTAAAAGAAATTTAAAAATCTATGCTTGTACATTTTTAACTTGTTTTTTATGATTACTTTAAGCTGGGGCTGATGCTGGTTATGAGAACAATTATGGAAAGGATAACCCATTTGCATTTGACAAGTTTCCCCAAGAGGCAATTGTAGGAATGATCAGTGGCTTCTACGTTTTTATACTGATTATATGTGTAGCAGTCATTATCTACCAGAACCGAACTTTTGCTGGCTTAAATAAGAAATGGGAAACACATCAACTGGCAACACTCAAGACTGGTAGGCATTGTTGTTTATACTTATACATGCATATTTTAACACAGCTTTCTATTTGTTTTGTGTGTATCTCTTTCTGTGTTTTTATGGGTGTTTTAAAACAGTGGTTCTCAAACTCAAAAGGAAACTAAGTTAGATTAGAATGGCAATGTTTTTGTTTTTATTATATTAACTGTTGATATTTAAAGTGTGGTAATTTGAAAGTGTAATAAAACAGGAATAGCCTTTTTGGTAGCCACTGTTTTTAGTGCTTGAAATGCAGACTAAGCTTTGGGAAATTATAAAAACTATTTGAGCATGTTAGTAAAGAACCATTAACTTATATCGAAATATCTTTTTAATTTTAAGGGTTCAGTGTCTATTCAGCTTTAAATTACACATATTAAGTTTACAAACTCGAGTATAAAAGTTTGTAGTCTTAAGATTTTGTACAACCAGTTCATGAACTCTTTTTATTAAAGGTTACTAAAGCAGATATGTCAGCTCATACAATAATTCATATCCTTGTGATAGAAATGAATTCAAATAATCAATATTTGAAGTAATCAAATGTCAGAAAAAGAATTAGTTAGTAGTAGTATAGTACACTGCATTTAAAAATGATATGATCAATTCAATATTATATTTTAACTGTTTAAAGTATCTAAATATTTCTTTCAATGAAGTTTGCTGTGACTAAATACATAGACATACACATTTCAACGAAAATAGGTGTTGTTCACTTGCAATCTTCAGATTAGATTGAAAAAATAGAAAGCAAATACAGTGTAATTTTGAAGTAAGAAGTTGAAACACAGATGTTTACTTTGAATTTACTAGTTATATTTTTAATGAAATTTGTTTAATACTTTTTTTTAAAGAAAAAAATCTCAGGTTCATTTCATAAGCCATTGTATATCTCAGTGAAATAAAATAAATAAATTCAGTAGTCTTTAAAAGTTCATTCTGAGATAGTTGTTTTGAAATGTTTAAAAGTGAAATTCAAAACTCTTTACAGCAGTGTTTCTCAAAAGAGTGAAAAGTTTTGAAATTTCACCAGGGATGTGCCAGATTTATTGATTTTTTTTCCTCTTCATTTGACCATTAATTTTCAAGTTGTGCACAGAAGTAATGCAAAGCTCATTAACTGGTGCCGGTCTGCGGACACCAAGGCGGGAAACATCGCCTTACAAGTCTTAATCATATTATCATTTACATTTCTTTTTTGTGTAAATAGGCTTTAAAGAGATTATTTTAAAATTTAAACTTCTTTAATTAAAAAAAAATGAAAGTAAATACTCTGATATAAGGTGTAGACTTACAATATTGGTTTTCAGGAATTGGCTTCGATGCTAAGAGTCAAATGACACAGCCGTCTCATATCTCAACTGTAGGAGGGATGAATAGCCGTGGTCCGGCTAGTCAGTATTCCACACACCCTATTGAGCGCAAAAAAGTCCCCCGAAGCGAAGATGGTGATAGTGGTGTATACTATAATGGCGAGTGTAGTTCTGCTTCCTTTCGTTGTCTATTTCTTGCTGTCTGCATGGTAGTGGTAAATGATTAATGTTGTACACCCAGATCTAACCTTTATTTTTCTAAATCATGTAGTGTTGATTTTATATTCAGGAAATTTATTAACTGATAAATTAACATCACAAATTAATAAAGTTGCATAAGGAAAGTTACTTTTTCATTAAATTCACCACTGGGTTGATTTTGAAATAAAATAAATTAACGACTCAAGTATTATACTAAATGAAAATTTTTTTTTTTTATCATAACATTAATTATTATGTGAATTAGTCTATAGCTTAGTTGCACAAAGTATAAACAATAAATGTTTCCCCACTGTTTATATAATTTTTTTTTTACATTATAATTATTTCTCATTATTGTTTTGTTGCTCAGCCTTAAGAAAATTTTGTAGAAAGATAATCTAAAAGTACCTTTTAAAAAAACAAACAAAAAAACTACCAGTCATGAAAGGAAGGATGTACCCTTTAAATGAGTTTGAATAAGAAATTATATACACATATTGCTCTGTACAAAAATATCTACTTAACTCTGATTTTTTTGGTCGGTTTTGTAAATATATTCCATGCCGTAAATAAATCCTAAATATCACAGTTAAGTGTTAAATTCTATAATCTTTTAAAGGTTAACTTTATTTAAGACATTGCATCTAAATTGCATTTGTTATCCAAAACTTCAATTATTTCAAAACATCTGTGTATGAGTGTCTAATTATTTAAAGCAAGTATATATTTCAACGATGTATGTGTTGCAAGCTCCATTTAATCAAGAATAACCAATTCTTTTAAATATGTATTTGGATATAAAAGTCACTTTTCTTGCATTTAAAGGAAATTTAATTAGCATTTTTCTATTTTTTTTAAAGGTATTAACTTAAAAATAGTACTGTGTTACTAGCAAAATTAGCATTATAAATTTTAAATGTTTATTTCAGAAGTCAGAGATCATATTACTTAAATTGTGGGATTGCTGTGCGTTAAATTGAGAAATTTTATTGAGAAAAATTTCTGTATTATAGCTGTTGATTAGTCTGTAGTATTCAGAATTTATTATGAATTTTGTATATTCATTTGTAAACATCTGTGATTTCCTCTTGTTGCTTCAGGCATCTTAAAAAAAACTTTTTATTAATTTCCTTGGTCACAATTATTTTCAAGGCTGTTTAACACAGGCTAATTTGTATCAAAGGATTATTGGAAGGAATTTAACAATGCTTCTAAGTCCTTGTCATTCACACATGTATCTTCCTATTTTTCATCATTGTTGACTGTACACTTTTAATTATTTACATTTATTATTTGATATATCATTTGAAAAAATATTTTGCAACGCTTAACTTGTATTTTCTTTAATTTTTTTGTACAAAAAAAAAATAATCTGATATCAATCAACATTCAATTTTTTTATTTAACATAACAAAGTTTTTTCAGGAAAATTATTTAAAATTTAACATTTTGTTATAAGAAAGCTAATGCAGGCATTTTACTCAAGTTGTGATAAAGTTCCATCTTATACTGAAGCAAAAATAATGTTGCAATAAAAAAGATTCCAATGTCTTACACTGAGCATAGCACGTGTCCCCCTTTTTAAACATTAATTACTTTCAGTTTCAAGTGACATATAGTAATTTGCAAAGTTGAAGAAACAAAAACTTACTATATTATATTCATATTTCCTTGCAGAAGAGTCTTTCCAAAAGAGACGTCTCATGAATGAAGAAAATGTAAGGCCTAAAGACAGGTATGTAGCAAATAGCGCTTACAGTGAACCAGAGGATGCTAGGGACAGTTTTGTTGAGAAAGTCATTACTTCCAGGGTCAAGACAAGGAATAATCGCCCACCATCCTATGCGGAAGCTCTTAGTGATCAACCTTCCGAGAGCTCAGAAGAAGAGGATCACTCTGATGGCTCAAGCAGCGGCAGCTCGGTGGGGAAAAGATCAGTCTCATCAGAGGAAGAAAGATCTGAGAGGTCTTCTGCAAGATCAAGGTCCACCAGGTCTGGAACACCATCTGAAACAGAATCAGAAAGTGAGAGTGATGCTCCTAGTTCAAGAAGAGGTCACAGAACACGGCCTGGAAAGCCTAAGAAGAAGAAGAGACGAGATTCAAGTGATGCAGACGGAGGTCCGTCAAGGCCAAGGCATCAACACCAGCAGCCCCCTACAGCTGTCCAGATGCAGCGACCTCCTATGCAGTCTATGCCTTATGGGGCCTATCCTCCTGGCCAATTTGTCCCCATGATGGCTGGACCACCGGCTTTTCAGCCTGTACCAATGGTCCCAGGTTACCCACCTCCTCGCTATCCTGTGGAGCCGAGGCCTGTCAGGGGTCCACAAGTGCATCCCACAGATATTCCCGTTTACTCCTACCTTGTACAGAGAGGTTACAAGCCAGTAGAAGATAGCAACACCTCCCAGGGCAGTGGAGGGGATACCCCACGGTCGGGTAATGGCCGGCTTGAAGAGCCAGAACTACGGCTAGACAGCGGGGTGGAGTACATGCGAAGGTAAAGTCCTACATTTATGCTAATGTCTAATGTTTGGAGACTTTTTACCTATCAAATGAACTTAGAATTCATATTTTATAACTGAAATTTTTTACAAATTTGAAATGCACTTTTTAAAACTTAAGTTGATAAACAAGTAAAAAATGTTAAAGATAAATTTCTTGTAGCAGGCAAAAATTTCTTGTAGCAGGCAAAGATATGCAATGACATAATTGATTTTAGGCTTTTAAAAAAAAAAATCTTTTTCATAACAAATTGCATTTCTATGAATTCAAATTTTTTCACAATTACTGTTAACTTTAATTATTTGACAGTTTAAAATATATAAACTAATGAAGTTTTAAAATGTATGATCTATGACAAGTACATTTTAATTTTTTTGTGTTGAAATTCACTTGTGGTTAAGTAATTTCTTTTATACTGACACTGAATAGTGTTGACCTGATTGCGTCTTCTGAATGTAACATGTTTTGATCACATTATAAATACCTAGCAATTTTACAATAAATTTTTATACATCTAATGCACATTCCAAATTATATGGGCCATGTTCATTGTCATTATGAATAAATATTTTTTAAGCCAGTTTTCAAGTCCAAATAATAAATAAACTTTACATCCTTGGCATTTTAATATGCTCTGTTTAAATGTATACAATTAAAAAAAAAACACATTCCATGAAATATTCATTCCATTTGGCGCTTAGCATCAAGAAACCTCTTGTTTATAAATGAAATGTAAAGGACAGATAATTCATCCTAATGTCTCTAACATTCTAGTTTTAAAATAGTCATTTAATGGATGTTGTAATTAAGTAATAAAAAGATACCATGTCTTGAATGTTGTACATAGCAATTTTACCAAACTGTTTGTCTCAAGTATGTAATCTTTAAATGTGTAAGAATGATTAATAATCTGTAACAGCCAGAATGATAAAAGAATTGAAATAGAGTCTAAATGAAATGTAAAGGATCCAAGATTATAACCTTCCTAATAGTTGCTCACACAACTTATGTTACAGCACTATAAAAGATCCTTATTTGTGCATCAAGCAATTGTTCTTAAAAATGTGTTATTTTAAAGGCAAAAGGTAGCCCAAGTTTTACAATCAATATAATAAATTAAAAGAAAAAAAACACTGCAAATATTATAAAACTTGGGAATTAAAATATTTTATAAACAAACTGAAGAAAAAGAAATTTAAATAAATCAACAGAAATTTAAAATTAAACATTTTAACAAAATTGTTTCTTATTTTTAATAGAATGCATTAAGGTACTGCAAATGATTTTTTATTCCTAATATTTGGATATCATAATTTTAAACAATAAAATAATATGTTGTCTATGTACAGATATTATATCCATTGATTGAAATTGCAATAGTGATATCTCAAGCAACCATATAAATAATTCATATAATTTTGATTTAAAATTATCTTTAGTGAAAATATTAAAAATATTTATGTTGATTATTTTAAAAAATGTGGCTTTTCCTTAAAATTGTAGCTTTTAATTTAATACTGTAAATAAAATTGGCATTATTTAGTCAAAAAAAGGCTGTTTATTCTTGGATTGAAAAATGTAATTTAAACAAAAGTTATTTGCTAATTTTACTACGGTGATGTCACCCAAGACTGAATGGGATTAATCATTTAAAGTTTAATATTTTTAACGAATCCGAAACATATCCTGATTTTTATTTACAAGCTACTGGAGCAGCAAGTTGTCTCTGTTGTTAGTTTGGATTTTAAATATTTCAGTACACTACATAGGTATCAATGTGTATTGTGCACAGGTATACAGTACAGTGCCTTCTTTTACTGATACATAATTATACTGAAACAATTTTTTGTATGTTCATGGTAAAACATAGTTTCCTTTATATATTTTAACAGATAAAGAAATATTTCATTTACAAACTGTAAATATTTATATTATGAAGTTTCATTGTTTGTGCTTGGCATATAAGAGTATAGTGAATTTACAATATTTTTTGATTATCCTATTTTTTTGTGTACAATAAATTTCTTAAACGTAATAATGAAGTTGTTTTTATTTTGTATAAATATATGCAATGCTGTTACCACTTACTTAGCTGAATAATTTCCTCATACAAGTATTCTTTCTAAATTCAACTTTAAAATCAATATTTTTTTAACAAAGGAATTTTAACTTATATGTTTATTTGTCCTCAATGTTACTGAAGCCAAAGTGTCTTAACTAACTAACTTGAGTCTAGAAAAAGAAGTAATGTGACTCATTAGCTGTATTAGATCACGTTTTGGAGGGGAATATTCTAACCACTGAGAAATTGAATTTGGAGGTTTTCATTTTGGGACATCGTCACTCCTAGTACAAGCTAAGACACCTAAATTAAAACAGAAATATGACAGTATTGATTGATAGAGTATAAGGATACACAAAACAACTGTAGACACATTTAGGTCAATAAAATATCTTTAATATCAGGAATTATTAAGCCTGGGATCAAATAGCACATGGTAAGATATTTAAAAAGTGTTAGGAATAAAGACTGAATTGCATCTCATGTCTATTTTTTTCTCAAATGAATTCATATGCATTATTGACAGTCATAATAGTGATTATAATTTCTTGCTCTTTTTATTGAGCCACTGAAAAAAATTGCATCTTAACTCTGGATTCCCTGGTGCCCCATCGGGTCTAGAGCATACATAAAACTGTTTGTTCTTATTTGGACCTCTTTTGGTTACTGTCTTTAGAATGCATGGCTCCTTGTGTCCTGGGCAGAGGGGAGGTGGAGAAGGACCTTTTAACAAAGCTTTCCATACGTCACTATTTGTTTTTGAATTAATGGTTTCTTCAGCCATACCAGATGATGGGAAACCTTTTAAATGTGATAATGGCAAACTTTCTTTTTCAGGAGGTAATGTCTTCAAGTTCACATTTGGGCTTAATTCTAAATCATCCAAGTCATAGTCTTCTTCCAGATCAATGACAATTTTATCACAAGCCTTACAACTGTCACTTGTAGTTGCAGAGGTATTTATACCTGCATTTAAGTTTTTTGACTTTGTGAAAAATGAGTTCAAGTTGACCTGGTTACTGCTGAGTCTTTTTGAGTCTGTCTTTTGTTTTTTGCAACCCTGCTCTTTCTGAGTTGTACCCCTTTTTAAAGGAGCATTCTTCGCCAGGGGGATGGCTTGCATACATTCGACTTTAGGCTTCTGCACCTGAGAATTTAAGAATTCCCCAGTTTCTGAGTTTAAATTACTTGCTTGATGGCACCCTCTTGAATTTTTAGCAGAGAAACAACCTGATTTTGAGCTTTTCTTTCCAGTCTTGCCAAAAAATATAGACAGTTTTTGCTGCTGACCCCGGAACTCTGGCATAAACTTTGAACAGTGCTTTGGAGAAATTGTTGAAGGGACAGGTTCACATTCTAATGTCAAGACCACTGGACAATGGTCAGAGCCTTCAACCTCAGGCTGGATTTCACACTTTGTTGCAAAACCCGCCAGTTCAGTGTCTACCAGAATGTAATCTAAACGTCGCCCATAGTTTGTCTGTCTATGATCATTTGTTGTATACCAGTTAGTGTAAGCATTTGCTTGATCTGGATGTAAATATCTGAATACATCGCTGAAGTGACCCCCCTCTAGTCCGGGAGGAGCTATTTCATTTAGGTAGCTGTCCATAGCCGGCAAAGAAGTGTCTCTTTCTGATTTCTGCAGCATCCCGTTGAACCAGATCCTGCTTGGCAACCTCAAAAACTCCACCTAATAAAATGCAGAGATAAATCTTTATTGTGTAATATTATGAATGGTTTAACAAAAATGTTAATTAAGTTTTTAGTTAAGTGGTGGTTTGTTTAAAAAATCACAAAGGCAGAATTCTGCATCAAAATATGACTAACAATGAAATAAGAAATTACGTTTACAAAACTTTTCAGGATAAGGCAATTAATCTTAGTAAAATTCAAGGTAAGGGGCTGTCCAGAAAGTTTGTCAAAGCTACACAGGGAGGAGGGGTTCTATGAAAGTGTGACAGTTTGTGACCCTGGGGTGGGGGATAGAAGGGGTAAAGATCTTGAGAGATGTCACAAATGTTTTTATCATACATGCAAATAAAACCTGAAATTGACAGTGATGTTGAACTTTCTGTTGTGATAAATTTATTCTGACGAAGATGTCACTTTTATAAATTTAATAGTGTGTTTTGCATTAAATTTTATTTATTTGTAGGTTTTTTACTGATGTTTAGTTCAAAAGTGTGGACTACCTTGTGGGGATGGGGGTCTGACATTGTGACAGGGAGGAGGGAGGGGGAAAAAAAAAAGAAAAAAAGTGTAATGTATTTTAAGTAGGTCTGATTCAACATGTTGGGTAAAAAATAAATTTAACTATCTCAATAATTAATAGAAATTTATTGTCTGTTTATGAAATTTGGTGTTAATTCTTAAAAAAAACTAATATTGCAGGAATTTAGAAAAAACTCACAATGAAAAAAAACCTTAACTTACATCATATTCTGACTCACATGTGTCAAGCTGTTTATGTGTCATGTTCATATCACCAACAACAATAACATGTCTAGGGAGACACAAATCAACGTGAGATGGTTAAGAGCTTAAATTAAATCATCTTGAAAGGGATGAACAACAACAAAAATCCTTAAGAATGATGTTACACATTCCTTTTTTAAGTTTTTTGCCAGAAGCTATACAGAATTAATTAGCATATTAACGTTATTTAGTTTATGGCTTTATCAAACATAGATAAAGATCAAATGTATCAAATGCAAACAGCACATCTGCATGTGCAACACCAAATAGGTCAAGAGGAACATTATTGTTAAGGTACATGCATATGAGACGAGAATTTTACAATAATGGTAAGGTTCAAATTTCTTCACGAGACATATTACATTAACAAAAAATTAGTTTGGTTCTCAAATAGTATCAGAGCATTTCATATTCTTACATTTTTTCCTTGAGTAATGATTCACATCTGCTTTGCAGAAGGGAGAGAAACTTCAATTTATACCGCAGTCTGTCCTCCTTTTCTCCAGCTCGGGGTGCATACACATTAACAATGGCAAGATCTTTTAGTACATTGCTGGGTAGCCTGAAATTCAAAATGTATTGTTTTGTGTCAAAGACTTCATAGCTGTATGATAGATGTTTTTAATCACGTTCAGTGAGTTCATAAAACGACAGTAACTATTAAATTGTATTGCTTTAAATCAATTTAAAAAAAAAAATCCACCTGATTTTGTGCTGGGTGATGACACAACGACCCTCCACATCTAATGCTTCTAGATCATCATTAGAAAAGCCTTTCATGTTTCCATAGCAACCAACTGCTGTTTGATTATGACTTGACAGTTTGCCGGTCAGACCTTCTTCTGCCTTAACAGGAGCTGTTGTTTTCTTACAATAGTTTGCTGTGCCTGTAATAAATGTTTTAGAGAAAAATATATGTCTCACCTTAATGCAACATTTTTTTTTTAGCTTAAACAGTTTAATTCTGAAAAAAAATGTAACAATCTAACTGCTTCCCAAAAAGAGATAATTTGTTCATCAATGTATGTCAGTGTGTGTGTGATCAGTCAAAGAAAATTAGGGGTGTGCCGGATCCGTTTTTTCCAACCAGATCCGGATCCGGATTTTCTTATGCGAAATCCGCCGGATCCGGATTCCGGTTTCTCCCGCATTCCGGATTTTGGTACTATTGGCCACTATTAGCGGTGCTGACTCTAGCCTCTGGTATGTTCGGAATATTAAACATTAAACAAGCTCAACGCTCCAAACAATCGATTAATATATCGTTGTTATAGAGAGCTTGTTTACGTAATATTTCTCGTGCGTGCCCTCTGATTGACCCCGCATGAGACGCTGTGTTCACAAAGGGGTGTGGCTTAGGCCCGTGTTTTATTCTTTGTGTATTTGTGAGCTTATATGTGTTTATTTTGCATTATTTATTGGCACATTATTCTAACTGTGTTAACTGTGTACCGGTACAAGATCTACCATACTGTAAGTTGAAGATTGTAATTATATTTTCTTTTCTTTTGTAATTAGAATTAATAAATATTATTAATTGTAACTAGAAACTCTTTTGGGTCGTATCTTTATTATTGTTGATTCTATGGTATCGTCCTTTGTTAGGCACTGCTTACAACGAGCCAATTAAAATTAAAATTAAAATAGGAGATTAATTTCTCCCAACACAAGTCAGTGCGTAACAATCGTGAGCGTGTGGAATTCGGGAAAGAGAATTACTTTTATTTCAGATTATGATCCAGTGAGTCACAAAATCTGGCAAATTCCGAAATCCGGTATATTCCGGATTCCGGTTGTTCCGGATACATGTAAATCTGGCGGAACCGGATTTCACCGGATAGTGCAAAATCCGGCGGAACCGGATTCCGGACCAGATTCCGGCACACCCCTATAGAAAATGGTTACAAATTTAGAATGAAATTAAAAATTATATTAAAACAATCAATAAAATTGGCGCTAATTGCAATTTATAGCCTACATCAGTACCATAAAGTAAGAATAGTTCAGAATCCTAGAAACTACATCAGGAATGAATATTTTGGAGTTAATTAAAGTTAACGAAAGAGCAGATTATTTCTGAAGTGAATATTTACCAGAATAGCCTGTTTTTTTTCTTGAAAAGCTGAAGTAGGATTCATAATCATCCACAATAGCTGCTGTCTCATCCAACATGTCTCCTAAAAATAATAAACGTATTAAAGGTAAGAAAGAGTTTTAATTGTATTCTTTTATCTTGTCGATTTTTGTTATGAAAAAACTATCATAAATTCTTATGGAGCATAAAAATGTAATTATGGAAAAAGTGACTAATTAATTGTATTCTTTTATCTTGTCGATTTTTGTTATGAAAAAACTATCATAAATTCTTATGGAGCATAAAAATGTAATTATGGAAAAAGTGACTAATAATAATTCAATCAGGATAATCAGATAATTTAATTTATTTTTATTTTGCACAATAGTTATAATGTAACAGAAATTTTAAAAAAAATACATTTAATGACAAATAGGCCTATATGCTAACATTATTTGTTTGGAAAAACTCACGGGATATTTTTGTTTCTTGAAGGCATATTATATCTGCATTTAAGGAATCTAAAAAACTCTTGGTACTGGTCTTTCCTCTGGCGGAACGAATTCCATTTATATTCCATGTCATAATCTTCATTTTCTTCAAATCCAATGAATAACTTTTTATGCTTTTGAAGTGGAAGAAGAAAGTCTGCGCACTCTTAACTATTTGTACTTAATTATATCATGTAAAACTCAGTGACTGAACAAGAAAAATGACTTGCAGTTGTACAAAGTTATTAGATAGCGGGAGGATTGGGGGGGGGGGGCGTGCGTTACAACTAAAAACATCACATTACGGTTTTTAAGGCAATCACAGATATTCTTAAAGATATAGTTAATGAATAATTATGTTATGAAAAATTAAGAACAAATTATGTGACAGTCAAAAGAACATTCCTGACCATTTCACACTGCTAAATTATCAATTATTTAATAATCACGGGTAGCCTAAATTACGAATAAATACTTTTATGCAAAGTCAAAATAAAAATGTTCGAATAAGTATTTATTAAAAAAAAATTCGAATTGTATTTTTATATTGTAAATATTACACTTTCTCAGTAAAAGATTTTAAAAATAATCTTAGTTAAATGCAAGGGTATTAGTATTAAGATTAAAATATTCAATTAGATTAGATCTAGGCCTCCAAATGACTGATTGTTTTATTTATATTTTCCACTAGTTAAGTCTAACAAAGATGAGAATGAAAGCAAATTTAGATTATTCCCTTCTATTTTCTTAATATCGCTCAGCAGAATCAGACCTCACTCGTGACTGAAGTCATTCAGTCAGAGTCTCAATTACTATTATTAGTAAGTTAAAGTAGGTAAGTAAGTTTTAGTAAGTATTAGGCTGCAATGCGTAACAATGAACAATAAAAAAAAATAAAACAGTCATAGACTCATTAGGCTACGCATTATGCATGCTATTTTATATATTTAAAAATATTTTTTACGTGACGCATATTAAATTTAAGTTAAAATGCAATCCATTACGCCAATATAGGTTAACTCAAAATAGTGAAAGATTTTAATTTTGTTTTGTTTATATCTGTTGCTAAAGAGTTATTCTCCCTTAGTTATTTAAAAAAACTAGAACTTAAAAGAAATAATAAAAAGGTTAAAACATTTATAGGGGACATAGCGGTCACAAAACAATTAAAATTCGGGAGAAAAAAAATTAAATAGGCGGAAACATTATATTGGAGAAAGAGCATGGAAGTATAGCTTCATGAGACAAAATGTATACCTCGTGGTATTTCAATGTGAAGAAGATAACAGAAAAATCAAACCCGTATATTACGTCTTGCGAGTGCTGATATAAGCTTTCGAAGTCCAAACGATCTTGAGACACACGAGAAAAAAAGATGTATTTCTGTGTGTCTCAAGACAGTTTGGTTGTCAAGGCTACAGCATCCATAAAAATAACGACTGCAGAAGATATATAAATAATAATCAATAACTGCTCTTATCATACAAATAATTCTCATTCCTCATAGTCTTTGATACACCTCTTAAGACCAATGTAAATTAGTGGTCCTCAAATTCCTCTGGGCCATATTCTGTTTGGCATCATCAACCTAACCCTAGCGCCCCCCCCCCGCCCCTCTATGCTACCCCCAAATAAAATTATTATAGAAGACAGTAGTTAGCAAAATTCTGTAAAGAAGATAACAACACAGTAAAAAAAAAGTATTACAAGCTTTATGTAATTATATTGCTTTGATGTCTTCAAACAGCCAAAGTTGAAAACACATAATTTTCATTCCTCATAGTCTTTGATACTCCTCTTAATACTAATGTAAATTAGTGGTCCTCAAATCCCTCTGGGCCATATTCTGTTTGGCATCATCAGCCAGACCCTGGCGCCCCCCCCCCGCCCCTCTATGCTACCCCCAAATAAAATTATTATAGAAGACAGTAGTTAGCAAAATTCTGTAAAGAAGATAACAACACAGTAAAAAAAAAAGTATTACAAGCTTTATGTAATTATATTGCTTTGATGTCTTCAAACAGCCAAAGTTGAAAACACATAATTTATGTAAGATTCTTTATGTCTATTAACAAAATAGTGTGTAAGTAATCAAGCCTTGGAAGGTAATCATTCACCACATAACAACATAATCAGATGGTTAGACGACAATTATTGACAAGAAATGAAGTGCAAGCGCGTACGAATATCTTATATTTTTTAAAATAGTGCACTGTGTACGTAGAGTTTACAACACCCTTCTGCACATTAGCTATAATTTGGTGTATACTTTTGTATAATTTGGTGTATACTTTTGTATAATTTGGTATAATTTGACAGAGACGTGTCAAGTCTCTTTTTGTCATAGTTTAAAAAAAAAAAATGAAAGAATAAAAAAATCCCCTTTTGGTATCTTTGGAGATTTATTTTAAAAAGATAATTGTTGGACATTCGTGGCATGAGTAGTACTACCTATTGATTTTTAAAAAAATCTGTTTTAATACAGCCAGAATATGACTTAATAGATCGCAATTTCTAACTTGCGCATTCAAAGCACTGATCATTGAGATTTAAGTCAATTTTTTTTTTTTTAATGCCATTCGGAGAAAGAAAACGAAGCGACACGTCTCTTATTGATGTTGTTCGTTATCTCACATCTTGGTGTCATACGGGTCAATACGTGTCAGTAAATCATCGCTCTTATAATTGGTTTAACGTATCGTTTAAAAAAAATAATAATAAGGGACAAGCCAATATAATCGGCTTTGATCGTTTTACTTGTCCACTGAAAAAAACTCATAAAGCGTTATAAGAGAACATGAAGTCAACACTCATAAAGCGTTATAAGAGAACATGTAGTCAACACTCATAAAGCGTTATAAGAGAACATGTAGTCAAAACTCATAAAGCGTTATAAGAGAACATGTAGTCAAAACTCATAAAGCGTTATAAGAGAACATGTAGTCAAAACTCATAAAGCGTTATAAGAGAACATGTAGTCAACACTCATAAAGCGTTATAAGAGAACATGTAGTCAACACTCATAAAGCGTTATAAGAGAACATGTAGTCAACACTCATAAAGCGTTATAAGAGAACATGTAGTCAAAACTCATAAAGCGTTATAAGAGAACATGTAGTCAAAACTCATAAAGCGTTATAAGAGAACATGTAGTCAAAACTCATAAAGCGTTATAAGAGAACATGTAGTCAACACTCATAAAGCATTATAAGAGAACATGTAGTCAACACTCATAAAGCGTTATAAGAGAACATGTAGTCAACACTCATAAAGCGTTATAAGAGAACATGTAGTCAACACTCATAAAGCGTTATAAGAGAACATGTAGTCAACACTCATAAAGCGTTATAAGAGAACATGTAGTCAAAACTCATAAAGCGTTATAAGAGAACATGTAGTCAAAACTCATAAAGCGTTATAAGAGAACATGTAGTCAAAACTCATAAAGCGTTATAAGAGAACATGTAGTCAACACTCATATAGCGTTATAAGAGAACATGTAGTCAACACTCATAAAGCGTTATAAGAGAACATGTAGTCAAAACTCATAAAGCGTTATAAGAGAACATGTAGTCAACACTCATAAAGCGTTATAAGAGAACATGTAGTCAAAACTCTTCGCCAAAGTAGCAATTAAAATTTAAAATTTCCTCTATAACGGCCACATTTACAATAATTATTATTAGTATTGAATTCGGTTAGGGTTACCAGACGTCCGTATTTAGTACGGACAGTTTGTATTTATGACCACCCCTTGTCCGAACTAACTTTTGCGCTCCGTATTCGACCCGTACTTTCCACCCGTCGCCAAGCTCGTCCCGTACTTTCCACTCGTCGCCAAGCGCGTCCCGTACTTTCCACTCGTCGCCAAGCTCGTCCCGTACTTTTGGCAGAGACGACTTATTTGCATTATTTCCATTTGTCTATCTTATTTCTTTGCAAAGGCCAGCGCAGTGAATCGGCTCAGCGCCATTGTGCGGCACATTTCTCGTTAACCTATGCATTACTGCTGCCCCCGCTTGAACCCGCCTGAGACTCTCTGCGCAGCTTGCGCCTGGGCCTGTGCGGGAAGGGTGACTTCCGGATTTCATAATACTTTGTCATTGTCTTTGAAACTTTGACAGGAATTAGGGTCCCTAGTGCGTACTGCACAAGCAGGTTTTTTTTTTTAATTTATTTTTTTTGGACAACCCAAGTGCATAGATCTAGTTGTATTTCCTTCACAACTGAGCTGTTAGGTTTTAGGTAACCGCCAAAAAGATAAAAGCAAGACTACAACATTGTTGAAGTAGCTGTCTCGTGCTAAGACGACAAGGAAAGAAATTCGTTCCACGCGTTATGTATCAATAGGACGCTCCATCAAGCTTAGCGCAGGGAATTAAATATTCGCGTACTCGACAGATGCGTTATATAACAGACTGTATCACTGTACTCAATTTTAAGAAGGAAAGGCTGAAAGCACATTACTAAAATTAAACATAGAAGTTAATCGAATCGTGTAATCTTTATACTATAAATTGATTGGTTTTAATAGACGTCATGATTATTCATTTTGGGACGTCTATTTATACTTGAAGCTCATTAATATTCCCACCAGTTCTTGAGTCGAAATACAAGTACAATGAATGCATTGTGTATACACTTATATTCTTCACGCAACTATAAGCAATTTGATTTCGTGAAATCATTAAAGTGGAGTGAATGAAGAAATAAAAAATGATCAGAAACTATTATCTAAAAAACACATTTATGAAAATAATTTTCATTGCGTTTTCAGGACTAGATTTTAAGTCAAAATGAGATTAAATAATACACACATCTTCAAAGAACTCACTGACTCCAATGGTGACATCGCCACAGATTTCATTAACCGCGAGTTATCCGATTTGATCAACATTATGATCCTACAGCAGATCGTAAGCGTCGGAGCCAGGACGTTTGGCATTGTCACCAACATCCTGGCATTGGTCATATTCTGGAAGACCGGTCTCAATGACGGCATCTCCGTGTGCTTCTTCTCACTGACCATTTCCGACCTGCTCTGCCTCGTCACGTTTCTCTCCGCTACACTTCTCGGCATCCTGGACCTCAACTTTAACGTCAAGCCGTACGTCAGCCTGTACTGGGTCAGCTACATGGTTCCGTTCTACGCTGTAATGTTCTACAACATTTCAACCGTCACCACCATATTCCTCGCCATACAGAAGTGTTGCTGTGTTGTGATGCCGCTCAAGTTCAAGGACACTTTCTCAAGAGGACGTTCTTTGGCCATCAACTTATGCGCCTATTGTGGAGTAATGATCACATTTATTCCATTCACCATAAGTGCCTTGCCATTCCAACCAACCTATGACACGTCAACTAATTCTACTCGACTCGTATTTTACTTTTCAAAATTCTTTTTGACGGAAATATTTCCCGTTCTGAAAGCGATTACTTACATATCGATACCAATAATTTCAGAAATAGTCGTTCTTTTTTGCACAATTTTACTGACCATAAGACTCCGACAGTCCTTAAAATTTCGAAGATCAGTAGCCGGGCGATGCGTGATTAAGAAAGGGGATTTTCACACCAGAGAAGAGAATGGACGTATAAGCTCATCAAAGTCTACCCAGGATCGACCCCGTCAAACTTCATTGCTATCAAACGTTCAGAGTCGTACCGGAAGTATAAATTTTAGGACGAAACCCGAAGAGCAATATGGTTTCTCGGAGCATCAGAAGCGACGACCGTCAGACAAGAACTTAAAAGCTTTCAAAAGTGACACGCAACCAAGGTCAGACAAGAACTTAACAACTTTCGAAACGGACAAGCAGCCAAGGTCAGAAAAAAACGTCCCAGCTTCCAAAAACGAGCTCCGCGTGACCCAGGCCGTTAACGTGGTGGCCACGATCTTTGTTCTGTCCAACAGCCCAGATGTTGTCGTTTTCTTCGCCAGTCTCGTGGTGCCCGAGTTTTCTGGCTTCGGACAGTATCGCCACACGTACACGCTCTGCTTAGTGCTACAAGACTTGTTACACATCGTCAACATGTCTGTTAACATATTCGTTTATTTGAAGTTTAATTCAAGATTTCGTAAAAAATTTCTGTCAACTTTCGGCCCCCGTTCGTGTGGCCATGATAAGATGGAGTGACTCGGTGAAAGGATAGGAATGATCGGGAAATATGCCATGAAGCTTGTGTAAACTTTACTTCGCTGTTACAATGACGACCGTTGCTATCCCTCAAGAACTGTATTTATTTTAATGTGAAGAAATAATTATAATCTCTGGATGATTGAAAAATTTGAAAACCTATAGCACTGAGTTAAAATGGACCTAGACACGTGGCGCTGCCATTCGCACCCGGGTCCCATTAGACTCAAGCTGTTCGGATGCCAATTGTGGTAGTTTATTTTAAGTAAGGGGGAAGGCTAACAACTATTTTTTTTAAAAATTAACCAACTTAGAGCAACTATTTTATTATGGTCATGTTAAGCTATGAATGGAGATATATTTTCATGCTTTTAAAAAAAATAAACAAATTATATAGTTGCCATGGCAACGGCGGCCATCTTGAAAATAATACCCATTCGTAGAGTTCTAAAATTTAAAAAAACAAACATACATATTGCTTAAAAAATGATTGATTCATGAATTTCAATTACATTTAGAGGTACTGAGCTAGTTTAATTTCCTTCAAACTTTTCAAAACTTTTTTTTTTTCAATTTTTAAAATTTGCCTCGGCAGAAAACGCTTAAAATTTACCATCCTAGGATATGAAAAAAAAATATTTTAGCAAAATTAATTGACCAAATTGATTTTTGAATAGCTCATTACCCACAAAATAGTTAAAGGAAGATACACACCAAATTTTATTACTCTAGCTTGTATATTAGCTGAGATTTTAGAATTGTACGTTACAAAACAACAGAAAAAAACAATTTTGAGAAAAATCAATTTTAAACTTTAAAAGTGAAAAATTTTAAGTTTAATATGAAAATGAAGTTCTTTTACTTATTTTTTTTTGTTCAGCAACATGGACATGGTGGTTTCTTATATTATTGAACTGTTGAATGCACCAGGAACATGGGTTTTACCTTCTTGAACTTCATCAGGTGCTCTCGTCAAAATCACAATTTAAAAAAAAAAATTGTTCCTCTGGAATAAAGCTAATTGTGTTGTATAAGAATTTTTTGTTCAGCATTATAATATAACACAAGTTATCCAATGTCCCCAATCAACCCTTTTGTCCATGATCCTTTTATCTAGCTTCGAAGTACATGTGTGAAATCAATGTAATATTTCTAAAATGAAGCTGGAAACTTAGAAGCACAATGTAACTTGTCGCTAGACAGCAGTAAATCTCTTAGATGACCGTGGATAAAAGTTTATAAAATGATAAGTTTCGCTTAGTTATAATGTCAAAGTGAGTGACGAAAGAAAAAAATTGGTTTCGAACTTAAAATTCAATAAAAAGGGATATCTAATCATACAATTTTATCTTTAATTTTTTAAAGAGGAAAAATAATACAGTTCCACATTTTCGAAAAAAAATTAATTTGACTATTTGGTTGAATCTGTGACACACTTAAAAAAAAAGAATATTGTCTACTCATGTAAAGCTTAAAATAGAAAGACTTATTCTACATCTGTTAGCTTGTATTTTAAGGGAAACAAATATTCAAGAGAAAAACAAGAGCTGGCTATAACCGTTTCCTTAACGCATGTGCTAAGTAACATACACGCATACAAATTAGTATGGAGAATTATTCTATTGGACTATCAACTGAATCATTGACAGCTCACGCAAGTCTGTCCCCAACCATCCTCTCCCCAGCGCCAGCCCTCTTGGCAGACGTTATGCCATCATTATGTGGATGTTAATTTAGTATGTTCAATTGGTTTAAAACGGTCATTCCTAAGTTAACATTCTGCTCACTCAGTTTGACTTTCCTCCCACCCCCCCCTCTTTATTTGTATCTCTGTTTCTTTCCCTCTTTCTATCAGATTAAATTTTAATTAAACGGAACAGAAAAAAAGACCCCCCCCCCACACACACACATACACAAACAATAACAACACAATATGACCGTACTCAGTTTGACTTTCCTCCCCCCCCCCCCTCTTTATTTTGATCTCTGTTTCTTTCCCTCTTTCTAACAGATTAAATTTTAATTAAACGGAACAGAAAAAAAGACCCCCCCCCCCACACACACACATACACAAACAATAACAACACAATATGACCGCTTTAAACAGTGTCGGCTCTACTGTATACGTACTCGGGGAAATAGGCGCTAATAAATGGATTATCCGGCAACCGATCGTCACGCCTAAAAGGATAGTGGATATTCCGTATCCAAGTTGAATACGAAGCGGTTGACTCACTGTGGCGGAAGGGGAAGTCAGGGAAAAGCCACGTCTATGCGTCATACGAAGCGACATTCTCGAGACCTTCACAACGGCGTGCACAGCTGTAATTGCTTAAAGGGTATTGACTTCTTCCCAGGTTTCGCTCTTACACCACGTTACAACACTAATAGGATGCACACTAACTCATCGCAGCACACTGGAAAGCTCTTCACTTAACTACATTAGTACTGGAGAGTGGTATAGGCACAGCGCGCATATTAAGAGAAATTTGATTTACGTTAACTGAGGCTTTCTGTTCCATCAAGTTTTTCTTTCTTTTCTTTTTTTTTTTAAACTGGGTTTTATAGAAGTGTTCTTAAGCCACTAGGTGGTGTGTAACATTTCTATCATTAATTTTGCTTATTAATTTCTTAAACATAATTTTATCTTTGGTAGTCCTACCAGTGGCGTCGCCAGGGTAAGTGCCACTTGGGGAGTGCGAAATCTTTTGCCGCCCCCCTCCCATTTTCCATGAAAAAAAAAAAAACTCTTCAGTGGCCGAAAGTGATGCCCCCCCCCCCCACACACTTTTTATATAAAGAGAAAAGAAGGCCACTCAAGGTGGACGGCCCCCCCCCCTCCGTACCCTCTGCCTACGTCACTAACTCCTGTCCGTATGACGAAGACGGTTAAGACCCTACTCCAAAGCCACTATAGACTAGATCTAATACTAAAAAAAAAAACACACAAAAAAAAACAAAACAAAAAATTAATTTAAAAAAAATGAAAATCGAAACATTTAAGTGCAGTTTAAAGTGATTGAATAGTCCTGCAATCGTGGTGGAACCAAAATCAATTGGACAAAACAATATTTTACCAGTTAGTGTTAGAAGGGAAACGGAGATGTGCGTAAAACTTGAACACGATACTACATGAATACTGAAGAAATCAGAGCATGAGTCCAGGGCAGGTCATTTTTACAATTAAATCAACACAACAGCCCTTCAAAATACATACAAACAAACTAAAAAAAAAACCTTTGTGATGGCTACCTGAGGATTCAGCCCTCGCCTTAANGGGGGGGGGGGGGGGGGTGACGTCGGCATAGACTGGCGAGTAGACCAATGAGGATTTTTTTGGGGGAGGAGGGGGTTGGGGGTGACATCGGCCTGGACTGGTGAGAAGACCAGTGATGTGTTTGGGGGAGGGGAGGTTGACATCGGCATAGACTGGTGAGAAGACCAATGAGGTGTTGGGGGTGACATCGGCCTAGACTGTGAGAAGACCAATGATGTGTTGGGGGTGACATCGGCATAGACTGATGAGAAGACCAATGAGGTGTTGGGGGTGACATCGGCATAGACTGGTGAGAAGACCAATGATGTGTTGGGGGGTGACGTCGGCCTAGACTGGTGAGAAGACCAATGAGGTGTTGGGGGTAACATCGGCATAGACTGGCGAGAAGACCAATGAGGTGTTGGGGGTAACATCCGCATAGACTGGCGAGAAGACCAATGAGGTGTTGGGGGTGAGATCGGCAAAGACTGGCGAGAAGACCAATGAGGTGTTGGGGGTAACATCGGCATAGACTGACGAGTAGACATCAGGGAGTTGGGGGACACAGGCTTAGACGAGCACAGAAGACGTTTTGGTGTTCGAATGGGGTGGCTAGGCATAGGAAAAATGGACCTGGGTGATCCGATCCGAGCAGCACATTCTTTTTATTTGTCGAACTCTGCGGCTGTTGCGTTTCGGTCCACTTTTTATACTATAATGTGACGTACGTAATGGGGAATAGTGGCATGTGTGAAGGGGATGGAGATGGGTGGGCGGGGAATGGTGATGTGTGAAAGGGGAATGGGGATGTTTGAATGGGGAATAGTGGCATGTGTGAAGGGGATGGAGATGGGTGAGAGGGGAATGGGGATGTGTTAAGGGGAATGAGGATGTGTGAATGGGGAATAGTGGCATGTGTGAAGGGAATGGAGATGGGTGAGAGGGGAATGGGAAAGTGTGAAAGGGGAATGGGGATATTTGAATGGGGAATAGTGGCATGTGTGAAGGGAATGGAGATGGGTGAGAGGGGAATGGGGATGTGTGAAAGCTGAATGGGGATGTTTGAATGGACAAAGAGGGTGTGTGAAAGGAAAATGAAATGGGGATGTCTGGAAAGGGAATGGGAAAGTGTGAAAGTGGAATGTGGATGTCTGAAAGGGGAATGGGAATGTGTGAAAATGAAATGGAGATGTCTGAAAGGGGAATGGGAATGTGTGAAAATGAAATGGGGATGTCTGAAAGGGGAATGGGAATGTGTGAAAATGAAATGCGAATGTGTGAAAGGAGAATGGGGATGTTTGAAAGGACAAAGAGGGTGTGTGAAAGGAGAATGAATGTGTGTGAAAATACAATATGTGAAAGGAGAGTGGGTGTGTGTGTGAAAAGAGAATGGGGGTGTGTGAAAATCAAATGGTAATGTGTGAAAGGAGAATGGAGGTGTGTGAAAATGAAATGGGGGTGTGTGAAAGGAGAAAGGGGTTATGTGTGTGAAAATGAAATGGAAATGTGTGAAAGGAGAATGGTCGTGTGTTAAAGCGAATGCACCGACTGTTTCGATGTGTACAAGTTTCAGCTCGGAATTTCCGCTGGTTATTTTTTGTTTTCTCTGTTACTGTTGGTGACAACACGCCAGAGACGGGGCCAGTGTGAACCCGTCCATTGCATCAGTCCAGCTCTGCTGTCCTTGCGTTAGCTGTGTTTGTTTTGGTATGCAAGAGCTCGTCACTGACGGTAGTGCAGCAGAGACACCGAACTTCTATAAGAGAGAGAGAGAGAGAGAGAAGAGAGAGAGAGAGAGAGAGAGAGAGAGAGAGAGAGAGAAGAGAAGAGAGAGAGAAAAGATTGATACCTAGGTGGGATTTTTTAAAACAATATCAGGTGAGTTTGAATATCGCTTATAAATATTTCATATTTTGTTACTTAGCTTTGATCCAAACATTTGAGCACACAGTACTACGTGCAATTAAACATCAAGCAAAATCGACTAAATAAATTTTTTAAATGGAATATATATATTTATATCTCAATTGTGTGCATCCCGTGCCGGGCCTTTGTTGAGACTAAAAAAATCCCCAATGAATGCAGTAGTAAAGAATATGTTTAACTTTACGCATGTAGAAATGGTAATAGCAGAACGAGGTGTGCGGAAGCTAGAATTTAAGGACAGGACAATAAAATCAGAACGTACGTTATAGTCCAGCTTCCACATACCTCATCTTGCTATTCATTTACTTAGCTTGAATGCAGTCCTTTACTTATTATATTTTAGAAATTGTAACCCACTTAATATTCGCACCGGGGACATCAAAATGATTATGTTATTTCATTATGCGTGGTCACGATTGGCTATTTGGTTGCTATTTCTTCTTTAGAAGTAAAGACATTAAAAAATAAATAAAAATAAAAATAACGGAAAAAAACAACAAAAACTTAAGTTGAAAATAAAAGGAAAGCTACTTAATCAGTAACTTAGTAGGACAAACATATATAGATATAAGAACTATGTCCGGTGGTGGACCCTTTTTACTGGTCACATTTAACAAATCAGGCCATATGAGCCATATGAGCCATAGGATATACCTTTTGGGTAAAATATATCCAAGAGGCATAGTATGGCGAGAGGAGGGAGGGGTGGAGTACACCGGGCGCGATCAACTGTAACTACCGGTACTCGGTAAATGTAACACACTAAAATCCCATTTTATTTGGTAAGAGAGACATATTAAAAAAAATAAGAATGTGAAAAAAAAAAGATTGAAAAAACAAGTTACACTCCGGCTAGGTTCTAACAAAAGAACCCCACTGAGAGCGGATCATGTCATTGGATTTCGGCTTATTTGTCAACACGGTGTGTGATGGATCACAATAGAACAGGAAGCTAAATGCAAAGTAAAAGGTTGCTGAAAAAGGGGGGGGGTGGTGCCTTGTGAATTTTTTCTTCTATTCTCTGGGTTTTAAAAATAAATAAATTAGCATACGAACGGGAAGCCATTCGGGTAAAGCGTAAGGAAATAGATTTAAAAATTTTTTTTTTAATGAGTTTTTTCAGCATTCGCTGATACGTATCATGATTCCCTTTACCCTTCCCACCCCAAACTCGCTAACCCCAAAACATACATAAATTTATGGGTTACCGGAAATTTGATCGAAAGAAATTTCGTCGACAGTAAATTGATCGACAGAAATTTGATCGAACGGAAATTTGGTCGAATCTTTTTTTCAGTTCACACGTCAAAATTCTTTTTTAAACGCACAATACTATACAGTAAAACACAATAATGTGTTCAAAAAGAAATTAAAAGCATAATTTTTAAGTAAAAACTGAAAACAGATATTCGACCGAATTTCCGTTCGATCAAAATACCGTCGATCAATTTACCGTCAACGAAAGTTCTTTCGATCAAATTTCCGGATACGAAATTTAAGAACTAACGCTGTAGTTAAAGTTACTTTCCAATGAACGTAAATAAAATTCCAAACAATTTCCTTTCAATTTAATCACTAAAATTGACTATTTTTACCCCCATACACTCCCCCTTTACTCCCCCTTTTTCCAATCTACTTACATTAAAGCAAAGTAAAATTTAAAAAAAAACATGATAGGGTAAAGCAAAAAAAATTTAGTGGAAACTCTCTAGAATAATTTCAATGAGAATGAAAAAGGAATCATTTTCTAGACACATCCGCTCTGTTTTTAAACGCACTCTTCTTATATGAATGCTAGGTCAACCCTAGTGTTCAAGAATCACTTCAGCGAACATTCCAGGAATATTTTCAAGGTTCGTTGTTTCAAGGTGTCACCGTAGGCTACAGATGAGACTAAGTGCTGTACCATAATGTAAGCTCAGAAGAGTTCAGAGGAAACTATGAGACTAAGTTCTGTACCACAATGTAAGCAAAGTAGAGCTCCAAGGGAACCATGAGACTGAGAGCTCTGTACCACATTGTTTCACCCCAGTAGAGTTCGGAGGAAACCAGTTTAGAGATGCTATCCACGCGCACACCGTTTTCAGTGATGGCACATTGGCAACATGATCTTTTGACCTGCTGTTGAAACCATCATAGTTCTATATGAACAATCGATTCTCATATAGTGGCTCTCTGATAAGAGAAATATATTAATTTCAGCAATTCTCATTCGTGTTCCGGCTATGCGATTCCGATGATTTCTTAAACAAATACATGGCTAACGTGTGGGCAAAAACATAGCCACAAATATTTTTGTTGAGAGGTTTTTCAAATTTATTTTTTTTAATAAAGAAAGGGATTAAAAGTCCTTAGAGTTATGAAATAAATTTTATTATGATATGTAATACATTATATAATGATATGAAATACATTTTATAATGATATGAAATACATTTTATAATGATATGAAATACATTTTATAATGATATGAAATACATTTTATAACGATATGGAATACATTTTATAATGATATGAAATACATTTTATAATGATATGAAATACATTTTATAATGTTATGAAATACATTTTATAATGATATGTAATATATTAAGAACACGCTGCCTAATTAATAAATAATTGTTCATTTCCAGGGAAATGGACTCCATCTGGATTCTATACGTCATGCTGGTTTCGTGTTCACATGCAAATGTGACAGTCTGGGGTATCGAGGGTAATTTATCAATGACAAATCAAAAAACTGGCGCAGAGCCACACACGAATGTAAGCCTCGATCACAAAGACACAAGACGAGATCTTGGAGCAATTATAACACAGAGAATACTCGAGCACGGCAGGAAGTCGACGAATTCACCAAAACTGACCGCGAGAGACTCACTGCACTTACGTAGTGGTGAGGACAGAAGTCATGTACCAAGTAACAGTGAAATGGTTCAATATCCCCGAAATCTAGATTCACATCTGAATGAGAAATCTGAAACTGCAGAACCTGGCAGTACATCTTTATTAGATGAACATTCCGCGTTGTTTCCTTTGACAGAAGGTGCTTCAGAAGAACTGCGGAATTTTCAGAATGATGGTGATTTTGGGAAAGATTTTGGTAACCATGGTGACCATTTTAAATGCGACCCATGCAATTGTTCTACAACAGCTCACCAGACACTACACGTGAAAGCCACGTGCCAAAGTAATCACATGAGTGATATTCCGAGAAATATCTCCAATCATTTATGGTCACTGGAGGTGTTTAAGACGCCATTGCACCGTTTGAACATTTCACGACTTCTAGAGTATGCAACTTTGAACGAAGTGAACATAACTCTCAATAAAAGACTTTCAACAGTAGAATTACAAGGCGATGTAACAAACAGAACATCTCAAGTCTCAAAACTATTGTTGACTTCAAATAATATTACATATATTGAAGATCACAGTTTTTCGGTCTTTCCGTTGCTTCGAATATTGAGCTTAAATAATAATAATTTACAAAACATAACAAATGCTACCTTCCAGATGCTCGTAAAACTGACCATTTTAGATTTATCTCACAACGTAATACATTTTATTGAGTCAGGTGCGTTCAGGCAGTTGGAAAGCTTACGAACTCTCGATCTGAGTTTCAACATGGTGATGAATTATACAGTCAAATATTTTCCAACTAACCTATTCGCCTCACTTACAAAACTTGAAGAACTTTCAATTCAGGGCCACTCAAAACAACTTGATTTACATTATCCTGAAGCCGCTCTATCGAAATTAGTAAACCTCCAATCCTTAAAAGTGGATGGCCTCAACACTTCTTTTGGTAGTGGAATAAACTCTTTGAAGCACTTGAGTCATGTCATGATTTCTTCCTCTGGCCTATCAAGGCACTGCCACTTGAAGACCATAAATTCAACATTTTTTATGAACCTGCCTCACTTAAAGTCACTGGAAATCGCCTCCTGTCCTTTATCAATTGTTGATCCGATGGCTTACAAAAAAGTGAATCTTACAAGTTTATCCCTCAGTTACCTATCGAAATACGATCTCTTCAAAGCCTTTGATGACCTCATAGGCTTTCAAAACTCTTCTTTGAAAAATCTTACCTTTATACATCTGTACCATAGAGCATTTCCCTGCCGCTTCTTAAACGAAGCTAACGCCAAATATTTGCAAAACATCGCCCTTGAAGTCCTCGATCTGTCCGACAACCGGCTGGCGTTGTTGGGAAATGATTTTGCGCACAGACTTCCCCTGACGTTGCGCAGGCTTATTTTGAGGAATAATCGTTTTGCTTTGAGTGGCTTAATTGTCGATCAGGTCTGTCATCTAACGCGACTCGTTGAAATCGATATCAGCATCCAGAACCAGTATCACGAAGAAGAATTTCACGAATCATCACCCGCTGCCAAAGAAACGATTTGTCTTGGAGGAAATAATATAGACGTCGAGGATCCCACTATTACCAAAACTGAAGGTTATGCTGAGCACAAAAATCAAGACGATGATGATTCCAGTATTACCAAAACTGTGGGTTATTCTGAACCCAAATGTCAAACAATGGACGAGTTCAAAGGTGGCCAAAATTCAAGTGAAGCTTTCGCTAATCATCGCTCCCGGAACGGTTCGGTAGACATTGAGCATATTCAGAAAACTGAGTTCACCTTTGACGAGGAATCTGAAATGATACATAGAAGCATTCAATCCAAGACTATAAATTTCCCCCATAACCTTAGATTTTTGAAAGCTTCTAAGTATTATAGATACGGCACAGTTCTACTGCATCATCCATGGAGCCAAAATAAACTGTCTGAACTAGATTTCTCAAAAGCTTTACTTTCGAATTGGGGCGATGGATTTATACACAAACAAATTACTAAAATTGACCTGAGTAAAAATTACTGCAAACACATTGGTCAAAAGTTCTTTCAAACTAACAATTCCTTGATTTACTTGGACATGCATAACAACGCACTCGGGGCTGATTTCGCGGAAGATATCGATGGCGCTATTCTTGCAGAATTGTCTAAATTGAAATATTTGGATATTTCATATAACCTGATTTACAAGCTTCCACCAAAAGTCTTTATGGGATTAACAGCTCTGGAAACACTTAAAATTACTGAAAACAAACTCCAAATTTTAAATACGACATTTTCTCACATGACCAAATTGCGGTACCTGGACTTGAGTAGAAACTCTATCGTCTGGATCAGTGAAAGTGTTCGAAACGACCTTGACCAGATAGGAGAACAGCTTTTGGTTGACCTAACACTAAACCCTTTACCCTGCACGTGCGCGGCCATTGAAATCTTAAACTGGATGGCGAACACAAAAGTTGAGTTGCAGAAGAAAGATTTCCTGCAATGTCGTTTCGAAAATGGTGAAATCGAATTCATAGACGATTTGGAACAAAGAGTCAGCAGTTTAAAAAGAATGTGTGCTTCTAAAGCTCTCGTTATAGTTATCTGTGTAGCTTCAATTGCCATCATTGGAATTTTCGTCGGTTGTGGATTGATCTACAAAAACCGTTGGAAATTACGATATCTTTTAAACAAAGTAACGTCTCGACTGTTTGGTTTTAAACCTAAGGGTGAAAATGAATCCAGATTTAAATTCGATGCTTACTTCATCTACACAGACAAGACGCGTAGTTTTGTGTTACAGGACTGCATTCAAGAACTCGAGGAGAAACGTGGCCACAAGCTGTGTGTTGAGGATAGAGATTTTATGCCCGGATCACCAATCATTCCAGATATCCTCAGTGGCGTGCGAAACAGTCACAAGACAATTCCGGTGATCACCCCAGACTTTTACAACGATGGAGACTTTACGGAATACAGCGTGAAGATGGCGTTGATGGAAGAGAACTACGAACGTAGACAGGTTCTCCATCTGTGTATCCTTGAGCCGACGGATCATGAAGACATGGACAACGATCTACTGGCGGCAATGAAGCGTAACTCTTACACAGAGTATCCTCCCTTAGATCAGGCCAATGAGGAACTGATACAAAGTTTTTGGGACAGATTGTCTGCAAAGATTGGTCACACCACACTTCGTGATGGCTGGGGTAAAGTTATTGAGCAGACACCAGTTCCGTAAGCTTCATGTAAACAGTTTCACGGGATTATTTGAACTTTTCCATTGCCTAATTTTTAATTTAATTTTTTTTTTATATTAAACTCGATGTTCTATGTTCGAATTTGGTTGACCTAGAATTTAGTTGTGCGAAGTTTGTATGATTGTTGTTATACCTGGACCATTTTACCTCCGATTAAAATCAACTTCTTAAAATAATGTCAACCTTTTTTTTTCGAACCCTTTTGTTTGTTTAATGAATCTGTTCTTCATTTGAGATTTAGTTGGGAATCTTTTTTTTCTACGCTTTTGTTGTGGCTGCTGTTGTTATCGATGGTGACGTTTTTTTAATGCTTAGTGCTTCTGGGCTATCTGGCGTGGTCCATGTCTTACAAAACATATGGTCAATTTTTCTCTGGTTTCACTTCTCATCTCATGATCTGAACCTTGGTAAATGTTTATCGAGAATACCAGAGAAACATTTCTGACTAAGTCGTTAACTCTATGAATCATTTCTTCAAAACGTTTAAAAAAAAAAAAACAACAACTCAACGCTGAAAGAGATCAAATCAATCACCAAGCGGTTAGCAGCGTTGGTTCAGAGTCTGGACGACTTTTTTCTTTAGACGCTGCAGAGAACACAACGTAAACTTGTTTAAATTTCTCATTTTAACTTCGATTTTTTGCGTGACGTGATGGATGGCAAAATATTCGGAACGCTAATTCACCCAATTTTCTTTAACCTATCGAGCTGAAAGCAGGCCTATTGACTCGATGTCGAGGGCAACACATTCTGTCATTTTATCAGCCCCACCACCCCACCCAACACGAACACCCATTATGAATATTATAATTCCCGCCTTTAGACAACAGATTTATTTGATCAACAATTTTAGAAAAAACAGAAGAACATATTAAGTACCCAAACGCACTTGAGATATTTAAAAAAAAAAAAAAGAAGATTATTTAGCGTAGTTATCGAGAATAGCTCCACCTATATTGCTCAATATAACATTTTATAAAGATTAAAGAAAAAACTTTGATTTTAGGGGTTGATTAATTTATTCTGGGTTTGATCGTTCAAGTGTAAATCAAAAAAAAAAATTGCCTTACGTTTCCATTTCCTGCTTTCGTTTCGCTTCACTTAATTTTCAATGACAAGTCATTTAAGCTCAACTTTGTACTGACTTCACTCCAGGCTGGCAACCTCTGATTTGAATTGAGGAAGCTAACCGGAAATATTATGAGAACGCGACTTTCACCATCTGTTGCTAACTATAGAGGTTACAAAGCGGAATGTTCGCCCGTGTTGTTCAATGAGACTGGTGGGCCAACATAACTCAACATTGTGTCAGTCCCGCTCTGTTAGGTCAATGTTGGCCATGTTGGTTCTCGTATGCAAGCGTTGGTTACTGATGGGCGTTCAGCAGAAACATTGAGATTCTAAGAGAGAAAGGAGAGATTTGAACCTAGGTGTGATCTTTAAACAATACTAGGTGAGTTCATTCTTCAGAGGATTTGACACACTTCCAGACAAGGGCGTACGTTAATTTTATAACTTGATGCGTGGTTTAATCCCAAGTATTTACTCGAACACTGCCAGTTACCTAGAGGAAAGCACATCGAATAAATAAAATATATATACACCAGAACCCGGTTATGTCGACGGCCTCGAGGTTTGCCAAAAAAAAAAGCGTCAAGATAACCGATGCTCGAGATAAACAAAAACCAATTAGGAGGGCAATATATGAACATGTGCTTGAAATTTCTTTATGAACATGATGTGCGTTAATAAATGCAGGTACTTCAAAAAAAAAAAATAAAAAAATAAAAAATTACATTTATTTAGAGCAAATTCAAATTGAAAAAAATGAAACCAGAATCAACTTTTTAACTTGAGAACTTTTTGAGCAGGGAATTTTTAAAGTGCGAGTTCGTTTGATATTTTCTACGATGGACGAAGCCTCCACATTTTGTGACCTCATTCTGCTGATCGTGTCTTGCGCAATGACTATAGAGTTTAAATAAGGCAACGCGTCCCTTCGTTACTAAAATACTATTTAGGGACTACTTATTTTGAACTTTCAACTTTGGCAGCACTATTTAATTAAAGCTTGCCCCGACCATGGTTTAATAGCTTTTGCACACGGCAAACTCTTATAAATGAAACTCTGACGTAGTGCCACGACATAACCATTATGCAAGTGACCACGAATGGCTGCCCATGACAACGTGTTGCACACGGCAAATTATGATCATTTACAATGTGGAATCTACCGGGTTTTTAAAACTGGAAATAAAACATATTCATTTTAATTACTTCTAGGTTCATTCTGAAACACAAGTCCTGTATTTTGAAAAGTAAATAATTATTATTAATTATGAAAAACCTGTTGATTTTTTGTTTGCTCTTTCTTCTTGCGGGATTCAAAACCCAGCGATTTGGAAAATTTGGCCGCCTTTTGTGGCTCGAGATATCAGGGTTCGGCGACATAAATCAATCGCCATAACCGAGGTGAAAATGCTGAGATAAAGAGAATTTGGCGGTTCCACTTAAAAAACGTCGACAAAAAGGGTTGGCGAGTTAACCGAGGTCGAGATAAGCGGGTTTAACTGTATATATATTTTAAAAATAAAATAAAATAGTATTATTTCCAAAATCGCAATATCGAGTTTGAGCGTCATAATGAAGTAGCCCAAGACTTATTTTGAGCTTAATTCCTGTTGAAATTGTAACCCACCTTATGAGACCTAATAAGTCCCTGATATGGCCAAGAGAATTCACTGAATGGCTGTTTTTTTTTGTTTTACTAGTGAAATAATTTAATGTGGATGTCTCGTGTTAAAATTGTTTTATTTATGTGCTGAAAATGTACAGTGCAATAAAAAAACATGTCCATTTGTTTGGATCAATAATTTTTTTTTAATCTCTCTCTCTATATATATATAATCGCTTTTTATCCGTCAATATCTATCTTGTTTTTACTTATTGCTGTTACGATAAGAACGTGAATTTAAAGTAAATATCCTTAATATTAACTTCGCTTTTGTTTGCGGCTGGCTGGCTGACTTTCAACATCTGCCGACGGCTAAATGACCCACTTCCCGTCAACATATCGAGCTAAAAAACTCGACACAGAGGCTCCTTGACGACGACAACACATTATTTCAAAAATTTCAGCCGCCCTCCCCCAAACCCTAAAAAAATGAGTTTCCCCCTGTTGAAATAAAGTTTCAGTGTAAAAGTGGGTGGGCCCATGGGCGCCCGCAGTAAACTTTCTAGGGGGGGGGGCAAAAAAATCGATTAACTTTCCAGGGGGGGGGGGCAACCATTTTTTTTGTTGAAATAAAGTTTCAGTGTAAAAGTGGGTGGGCCCATGGGCGCCCGCAGTAAACTTTCTAGGGGGGGGGGCAAAAAAATCGATTAACTTTCCAGGGGGGGGGGCAAACAATTTTTTAGCAATGTTTTAATGAGTTTTAATTTACTGTAGCGTATTTGTATGGTGAACGAACGGACAGGACATCAGCTTAGTTACTTTCTCATTATTTTCTCTTTTTATTTTAATAGATTTTTTGTCTATTTTTGTCTAAATTTTTTTTATCCAATCAATCCGGGGGGGGGGCAAGTGCTCCCCCTTGCGCCCCCCTGCGGGCGCCCATGGGTGGGTCAATATAATATGAACATAGTTCAAGGGCGTGAAAATAACTGCGGTAACGAGACTTAGGATTATTATAAAATGCATTACTTGTATACATGTTTTTAAAAACAATTTTTACCCCCCCCCCCGCCCCATTGCTCGATATTACATTTTATAAAGGATTTATTCAAATAACTTTGTTTTAAAAGGTTGTTTAGTTTTGGTTTATTAGCGGTCCGATCAACGTTGAAAAATTTACTTTATTATTATATTAAACAATCTCCTTAAGAGCGAATAACACATTCAGCTTTCCTTTCTTCTTTTTTGACAACTGTTGCATCATGAACAAACGCGAGCCGACGCGATATTCGTATAAGTACAAATCAACTGTTAAAGTATAACTATTTAAAAAAAAAAGAAAATATAAAGAAATTTCGGAGAGTAAACGAATGAACGAACTGTCGGTATGACACGTGTTAATAGTCCATCGGCGGGGATACGTCACGTAGAAGCCCCTGCAAACACTTCAAATCACACAAAGCCCCGCACCCTCCTAGCGCCGGTCCTGACTATCCTAGTTCATCACACATAGTAAATATTGACAAAAAGGTTGTTATTTCTTCATAACACGTAGAAACATATCAAATTTCAAAAGTATAATTATTAAATGGTAAAATTTCTAAATGTGTTACTTCGTAGAGCAAAATTATATTTTCTACACTTATGTCCACTCGTAGACTTAAGTCAGTGTACATAATATTGTACACGTTAGGCTGTTTGAGATTTTTTTTTTTTTTTTGTTTTTTTTTTTTTGAAAATGCAACCAAAGGACATAGGAAGAGAGGGGAATGAGGAGCAAACCACCCCAGGCGCCACAAAATCTTTACTTGTAACCCACTAATAGTTATCTTTTCTTCAAGTGATTGTATAGACTTATTTAACAGGCAAGAGCATGAAAGAAAAACTTCTAGAAACACTTCTAAAAACACTTCAAGAAACAATTCTAGAAATAACTATAGAATAGCTCGACATTGAAAATAATTTTGGACGCTGGCTTATTTGTAAACAAGGTAGCAAAGGACTACAATAAATCAGGAAGGTAGCTATACAGACGACATGTTTACGTAATTTTTCCCCGTGAATGAACTCTATATGACCTCCACCATTTAAGGGTCTGGCTAAAAAAAAATTGTCTCTTTTACCTTGTTTACGACTAAATAAAATCTATAGCCCGTATTATTAGAATTATGTAGAAAAGTCTAGACAAATCAGGAAAGGAAAACAATATGTAAGCCCTTTCCAGAAATATTAAACACACTATAAAAGAAAGAGAGAGATATTTTGGGACAGCACGATTAGGATACTTTTGCTCTCACACACAAACACGAAAAAAATAAATATATATATATATTTATAAGTGAAGCCAAACTAAAAAACAAAAATAAAACCAAAATAGCGCACACACTAAAATAAACAAAATAAAGTTAAATTCACCATTGTTTGACCTATCTCCCCAAAGATCTTTAGTGAAAGCACATTTGGTTTTTTTGTTTGTTGTAATCATTAGAAAAATGTAAGATGCTATGTTCCAAAACTCTTTTCATTAAGATAATGAAGCAGTTTTCTTCTAGACAGCTTCTATGTTGTCAATGCACTTTACTTAAATAACAGCCAATTTTTTTTTCCATTTCCACATTCGATAAAAAAATAATAATCTATAGAAAAGTTTCAAATCAAGAATTTTTTTTTTTGTATAAGAACTAGGAATCCTGACAAAAAAAAACAATTATCGCAAACCCTTGGAACTTTTTTGCACATTGTTCTTTTTGCAACTATGTGCTATTTGCAGTGATGTGCTATTTGCAGGTTCAGCCAGGGTAAAAAAAAATTACACGTCGAGTTTAGTTAGCGCATGTGCAAGAGAAAACGCAATTTCAATGCTTATTATTTACAGGTTTCACTTTACAACTGAGTAAGCTGTGTACCAAACGTTTGGCCCCGTAGAATCCCATAAAGATAAACATGTGCCACACTGCTTTCGTTGGCATTCAATTTCAACATATACAATTTTGACCCATTTCTTTACATATAAGTATAAAACATCTTACGTCTATATTTTCTCTAATAGCAGCTTTTTGATTAAATGTCTTACTTTTTCAGCATCTCATTCGGGTTCCGAAAATGCGAATCCTGTGATTTCTTAACACCAATCCATAGCCTACGTTTCAGTGGCGTAGCTAGAGGGTTATTTGCCGCTCCAAGCGAAGAAAATTCAAAGACTCAGGAAATTTTGGCCGAATGTGTGGCCACACTATATAAAGACCGACCCCCCCCCCCCTTATAAAATACGTGTACTCAAAACATACTTTAAAAATATTTTCCTTGATGGGGCGTTGCACTCATTCCCATAATACCTTGTAAATCATAGCCTACGTTTCAGTGGCGTAGCTAGAGGGTTATTTTCCCCTCCAATCGAAAAAAATTCAAAGACTCAGGAAATTTTGGCCGAATGTGTGGCCACACTATATAAAGACCGACCCCCCCCCCCCCTTATAAAATACGTGTACTCAAAACATACTTTAAAAATATTTTCCTTGATGGGGCGTTGCACTCATTCCCATAATACCTTGTAAAATATGTTGTTATCTTCTGCATGAAAAATCATTCGTTTTTTATGTAAAGATCAAGCATCATTTAAAACTTTAATGAGTCCATTTGGCACAGGTCATTGTTTGGAAATCATCAATCAATTTGTAATGGGAAGAAAAAAATAGACAGTTTATTAAAATTAACAAAAAATTAATTAATTTATCCGGAAATAGCCAATGCAAATTATTGTACAGTGACATTATATGCACATATAAATCAGAGCATTATTTATTTGATAAAAAATAGCGATTTTAATCTAATAAATAATTGTAAATTTTCAGGGAAATGGACTCCATCTGGATTCTATACGTTATGCTGGTTTTGTGTTCGCATGCCACTGTGACAGTCTGGGGTATCGAGGATAATTTATCAATGACAAATAAAAAAACTGGCGCAGAGCCACACACAAACTTAAGTCTCGATCACAAAGACACAAGACGAGATCTTGGAGCAGTTATAACACAGAGAATACTCGAACACGACAGGAAGTCGACGAATTCACCAAAACGTAAAGACTCACTGCACTTCTATAGTAGCAAGGGCAGAAGTAATGTACCAAGTAACAGTCACATGGTTCAATATCCCCAAAATGTAGATTCACATCTGAATGAGAACTCTGAAACTGCAGAACCTGACAGTATATCCTTATCAGATGAAGCTGCCACATTGTTTCCTTTGCCAGAAGGGGCCTTAGAAGAACTGCGGACTTCTCAGAATGATGGTGATTTTGGGAAAGATTATGGTAACCATGTTGACCATTTTAAATGCGACCCGTGCATTTGTTCTACAACAGCTCACCAGACACTACACGTGAAAGCCACGTGCCAAAGTTATCACATGAGCGATATTCCGAGAAATATCTCCAATCATTTATGGTCACTGGAGGTGTTTAAAACGCCAATGTACCGTTTAAACTTTTCACCACTTCTAGATTATGAAACTTTGAATAAAGTGAACATAACTCTCAACAAAGGACTTTCAATAGTAGAATTAAAGGGTGATGTAACAAACAGAAAATCTCAAATCTTGGAACTGTGGTTAACTTCGAACAATATTACACACATTGAGGACAACAGTTTTTCGGTCTTCCCAATGCTTCAAATATTAAGCTTAAAAAATAATAATTTACAAAACATAACAAATGCTACCTTCCAGATGCTCGTAAAACTGACCATTTTAGATTTATCTCACAACGTAATACATTTTATTGAGTCAGGTGCGTTCAGGCAGTTGGAAAGCTTACGAACTCTTGATCTGAGTTTCAACATGGTGATGGATTATACAGTCAAATATTTTCCAGTTTACCTATTCGCCTCACTTACAAAACTCGAACACCTTTCAATTCAGGGCCACTCAAAACAACTTGATTTAAATTATCCAGAAGCCGCTTTATCGCAATTAGTAAACCTCCAATCCTTAAAAGTGGATGGACTCAACACTTCTTTCGGTAGTGGAGTAAAATCTTTAAAGCACTTGCGTCATGTCATGATTGGTTCGATATGGCAATTGTGCTTTTTGAAGACTATCAATTCAACATTTTTTATAAACCTGCCCCTATTAAGGTCACTGGAAATTTCCTACTGTCCTTTATCATGCGTTGACCCAATGGCCTACAAAAAAGTCAACCTTACAAGTTTATCCCTCAGTTACCTATTGAAATACGATCTCTACACAGCCTTGAATGATCTCAGAGGCTTTCAAAACTCCTCTTTGAAAAATCTTACCTTAATAAATCTGTACAATAGGCTATGGCCCTGCCGCTATTTGAACGGATCCAACGCCAAATATTTGAAAAATATCGCCCTTGAAATGCTTGACCTTTCAGACAACCAGCTGGCGTTTCTGAGTGACGATTTTGCAAACAGCTTGCCCCAAACATTACGTATTCTAATTTTGAGGAATAATCGATTTTCTTTGTATGACCTTGTTATCACGCAAGTCAGACATCTGATGGAATTGACTGAAATTGATATCAGCATCCAAAACCGTGTGGAGCCTAGTCTTCTTAAAGAAGACCCGGATGAATCATCACCCGATGAAAATGAAATAATTTGTCCTGCAGAAATTCAATCTAATGATAAGCACTTTAATAATAAGGAAACAGATGTCTATTTTAACCTTAAAGATCAAATAAAAGACAAGGTAACATTAAACAAAGTTTCAAGTGAAAGATATGCTGTTGCTGGTCGTTTCACGGATGTGTCGAGTAACAACAGAAAGTTACCTCCTAACCTTAGATCTTTGAAGGCCTCTCAGTACTATGGTTTAGGCATAATGTTATTGCACACAAAGTGGAAGAAAAATAAATTGTCTGAAATAGATATCTCAAACGGTTTTCTTTCCAAATGGTGCAATGGGAATTTACTTGAAGGAATTACTAAAATTGACTTGAGTGAAAATTATTGCGAACACATTGGCACAGATTTCTTTCACAATAACAATTCCTTGATTTATTTGGTCCTGCATGACAACGCACTTGGTGCTGAGTTTGCTGAAGATAACGATGGCGCTATTCTTGCCAAATTGTCTAATTTAAAGTACTTGGATATTTCATACAACCTGATTTACAAACTTCCATCCGAATTCTTCAAGGGATTAACTGCTCTCGAAACACTTAAACTTTCTAAAAACCAACTCCAAACTTTAAATACGACATTTTCTCACATGACCAAATTGCGGTACCTGGATTTGAGTGGAAACTCTATCGTCTGGATCAGTGGAAAAGTACGCACTGACCTTGACCAGATAGGAGAACAACTTTTGTTTGACCTAACACTAAACCCCTTACCCTGCACGTGCGCGGCCATTGAATTCTTAAACTGGATGGCGACCACCAAAGTTCAACTGCTGAAAAAGGATTTCCTGCAATGTCGTTTTGAGAATGGTGAAATTGAATTCATAGGCGATTTGGAACAAAGAGTCAGCAGTTTAAAAAGAATATGTGCTTCTAAAACTCTCGTTATAGTTATCTGTGTAGCTTCAATGGGCGTCGTTGGAATTTTTGTTGGTTGTGGATTGATCTACAAAAACCGTTGGAAATTACGATATCTGTTAAACACAACAAAGTCTCGATTGTTTGGTTTTAAACCTAAGGGTGAAATGAAATCCAGATTTAAATTCGATGCTTACTTCATCTACACAGACAAGACGCGTAGGTTTGTGTTAAAGGACTGCATTCAAGAACTCGAGGAGAAACGTGGCCACAAGCTGTGTGTTGAGGATCGAGATTTTATGCCCGGATCACCAATCATTGCAGATATCCTCAGTGGCGTGCGAAACAGTCACAAGACAATTCCTGTGATCACCCCAGACTTTTACAGCGAAGGAGACTTTACGGAATACAGCGTGAAGATGGCGTTGATGGAAGAGAACTACGAACGTAGACAGGTTCTCCATCTGTGTATCCTTGAGCCGACGGATCATGACGACATGGACAACGATCTACTGGCGGCAATGAAGCGTAACTCTTACACGGAGTACCCTCCCTTAGATCAGGCAAATGATGAGTTGATACAAAGCTTTTGGGACAGATTGTCTGTAAAAATTGGACACACCACACTTTGTGATGGTTGGGATAAAGTTTTGGAAAGAGACACCATCTCCATACCCTTGACGTAAACTAATCATTTGAACATTCCCATTGCTTGATTTTCATTTTATTTTAAATTTTTATGATGACACCCTTTTCGTTTGATTAAATTTGGTTTTTACCAAATTTTTTTTTTGCACGAATTGTTTTTGAATGATATTTTCTTTACTTGCAGCACTTGAACAATGCTGTAATTAATTGATCAACACCACATCAAATCCATCTGTCATTAATTGATCAACACCACATCAAATCCATCTGTCATTAATTGATCAACACCACATCAAATCCATCTGTCATTAATTGATCAACACCACATCAAATCCATCTGTCATTAATTGATCAACACCACATCAAATCCATCTGTCATTAATTGATCAACACCACATCAAATCCATCTGTCATTAATTGATCAACACCACATCAAATCCATCTGTCATTAATTGATCAACACCACATCAAATCCATCTGTCATTAATTGATCAACACCACATCAAATCCATCTCTCTTTTTTATTTTTAAAAAAAAAGTAAACATGCTTCTTTCTCCCTATTTAATTGGATACATTTTTTGTGACATCTTTTTGTTGATGGCGGTTTGGATGGCTCGGTGCTCCTAGCATTGCAAGGTATGTTTCAAAGTATCACCTAAAGATTTAACAGTTTGGCCCTTAGTCATCATCTGTTTGATAATCTGAACTTAGGCAATGTTAGTCACGACGTTTTGAAAGTCAACCAATTTTTAAAAAAACAACAACTCAAATCTGATATTATTTAAATCTTCCTATCTGATAGCCATTAATACCGCTATTTGAATTTCTTGATGTTCCAGATGACACAGGATGAACCTTGTTTAGATGACAATTTGTTTGAAAGCGTAAGAAAAGAAAATTTGCCATTTCTATGGCTTCCTAAAATATTGGCCAATGTGTAATACGGCGGAACGATAGTACCCTGAAATCTTCAAATGCCATTTTGATCTATTCTCAAGTGAAATCACACTGATGTTCCTTTGTGCAACATTTCGATAAAGACCAATAATGTCCATGTACTTAAAGACTGCTAGTTGATTGTTTTGGATGAGGGCACCATGGTTCATAGTGGAATAGAAGAATTGGACATAGTTTTTTTAAGATGTACGGAATGCAAGTGCCTTATGGGGTGATTAATATGCTAATGACAGAGGACTTCAGGCAGACATGACCCGTCATTCCTCGGTAAAGCATGCTGATTAGGTCAAAGCCAAATAATGAGGCCAAAGTATGCTGATGAGGTCAAAGCCTGCTGATGAGGTCAACGCCTGCTGATGAGGTCAAAGCCTTCCTTAAGTTGTCCCTGTTACTGCTTAACGTGTAAGTGATATATTTGCGCGTCAATATTAGGGTTCCTCTGTGGACAAGAAGATACCACCCGGACTGTATACTTTGCCATCTTCTACCTTCTCCTGGTACTTGCCTTGCTAAGTACATCTAAATTCTAGGCGTTGCGGTTGATACAAAGGGCATGGAACAATTAATCAGCTATTGTTTGACATACGAATCACGACTATCATTGTCTTTTTTTTTTCGGGACATTATTTTTTTTACTTCTCAGCCAATCACATCTTCTCACTTGCTCCATTTTTTAAAAAAGTTCCTAAAAAGAAAAAAACCGTTATGTTTTAAAATATTTCAACTTTTTCAAATAGTTTTATTAGACTATTCATACTCTCAAACAACCTTGTGAATATCTCTCTCTCACTATCTCTCTCACTGACTCAATCTCTCTCCATTTATAAATATATATATGTATATATATATATACACACACACACACACACAGAATATTATACTGTTTTTGGGGGAAAATGAGTTAAAAACATTTTTATTAAAATTAAAACCCTTAAAATATGTAATTATAATGTTTTGGTTAAAATCCATCTTATTTGCATTAAGATCACACACACACAAGAACAATATTTACTCTAAAAATTCATGGGTAGTATGAAACTAAAATGATGTTCTGAACATAATTTTCAAAGAAAATTTACTAAATATTCATCATACCACTTTCGCATCATTGATTTATCCGGACAACCAGCATCTTATTCTGTTAAATTATTAACATCATTTTTATTTACAAACTCAATATCAACATAAGATAAGATAAGATTCCTAATTGATCCAGTTAAACAGGAATTGTTTAATTCGAATATACATATTTATTTTCAGCCCATGAATAAATACAACAAACATTCTACAATGATAGCAATTTAAACACAAGACATTTAAAGTATTTTTCTAGGGCAGTGATCAGCCATCAATGAACTCCCTTAGGGACAATAACGATTTAATTTAAGATCATTTAGTTTTGGTATTCTGGGGGTGGGGGTGGGAGGGAGCACGCTGGTAAATGGTGTGCAGGCTGGGAAAAAAAGATATTTTTAAAATATCTATACATTCTATACGTACATTCTATACGTACATTCTATACGTACATTCTATACGTACATTCTATACGTACATTCTATATGTACATTCTATACGTACATTCTATACGTACATTCTATACGTACATTCTATACGTACATTCTATACGTACATTCTATACGTACATTCTATACGTACATTCTATACGTACATTCTATACGTACATTCTATACGTACATTCTATACGTACATTCTATACGTACATTCTATACGTACATTCTATACGTACATTCTATACGTACATTCTATACGTACATTCTATACGTACATTCTATACGTACATTCTATACGTACATTCTATACGTACATTCTATATGTACATTCTATACGTACATTCTATACGTACATTCTATACGTACATTCTATACGTACATTCTATACGTACATTCTATACGTACATTCTATACGTACATTCTATACGTACATTCTATACGTACATTCTATACGTTGTTCTTAGGCTTCTTCATTTTGCTCAGTTGAAAAGCTTGTCTCGTGAATTCATTTATTCTTGACACCACCCTGTACCTACTTGTGAGAGAAGAGATTCAACTTTAAAAAAAAATCAAATATATATTATATGGTTACATCAGCCGTAACTCACGAAACTTGGAAACAATTTTGATGTAAATTAGAAATAAATTTGAGCCTCGAAAAACTGTTGTTTTTTTTTTGTATCACACAAATCATCCTTGACATGCTTCTCACTGATGTTAAAAAGACACTCGCGTAATTCATGGGATTCTTTAACTAATAAGAACCTATTTGGATGCTTCATTATTTTAATCTTATCTGATGATGTCATAAATGAATAATTTCGTACTTCATGTACAATTTAGACAAAGAAAAAAAAGTATTTAAAATATATGTGATTTTATAAAACAAACATTTAGGATCATAAACATGGGTTACCCCTTACATTGTACCCAGTCCATCCAACCCCGGTCCCAACAGAGCCCGAGATTGTCTTACAGGGCGAATTAAAAAAAAAATTAGACATTTCATATATGAATATATTATCCACACACACAATGTTTTTAGATTTATTGCTGATTCCTTTATTTTTGGTTTGCATTAAAGCTTGAAGAAAATTCATAACACTAATGGTTTCTGTTGTTTAAAAAAATATTTTTGAGTCCTACAAAGTACACCTTCAAAATATATATATATATATATATATATA